ATAGTAACAGCTCCTGAAAGACAGGAGGAGTCCTGAAAGAGTTGCCAAGGAGCTCCTTTTTATTTATTTATTTATTTATTTATTTATTTATTTAGTACAGGATCTCACTATAAGGAGTTGCCTAGGAGCTACTTTTTTTTTCCCCCTGTATTTTAATATGGGGTCTACAGGGTCTCACTATACAGATCAGACTTGTAGTGATTCTCCTGTTTTCAGCCTCCCAAGTACTGGGATTATAGGCTCACTCCACACCCAGTCTCAATCACTATCTCAGTGCGCCCCAGGGACAGGCTGGGCCAGCAGGGAACCCTGATGCCTGTGTCTGCCTAAACAGGTGCTTTAATCTGCTGAGCTATCTGGCCAGCCCTCAAGGAGCTACTTCTTAAAAGAAGTTTTCTAGAGTAAAATCATGAGGAAGGTACAACATGGGTCAGAATTATGATCAGTAAGATTGTAAGTATAGTCACTTGGGTAATATTGATCCAGTGGTAGCAAGGGCATATGTGTGACATTAACCTTGATCAGTAATCTACAGTCTTAGTTTTATTTTTAGTGTTAGTCTTAGTGGGTGGGAGTGAATGACACACCCCTAATGAGATAAAGGGAAATCTCAAAAGGGAGACATCAATAAGGGAAGTGTGTAAATCTAACCTTTGTGACTTTAATCTTCAGATGGGCCTCCAGCCACAGTTTTGATGGGCTGTCATCTTCTGCACTGACTCCCTCAAGGGCCCAGCCCTCTCTGACTGCCTCCAGTATTTCCACCTAGCTTTCCACCTTAGCTGTCTACCCCCAAGCAGTATCCGTAGCAGTGGTTAGGGGAGAAGGATGTCATTTCAATCTAGCTGCATTGAGCTGAGAAGGGTTAGTGTAGTGGTAACCACAGTCAGGAGTGAAGGCCACTCTTAATCACACTTCCTGTATTATCTTTGTAAATCTCCACACTGACCCTGTAAAATACTATTATCCAAAATACTGAACAGAAGGGCCTGCCAGGTAGCTTAGTGGACTAAAGCACCTGCTTAGGCAGATGCAGGGACTGGGGTTTGATCCCCAGTGTGCCATGTTGTGCCAGCCTTGCCCCTGGGGCACACTGAGACAGTAACTGAGACTGGGCTTGGTAGTGTGTGCCTGTAATCCCAATGCTTGGGAGGCTAAAAACAGGAGAATCACTATAATCCTGATCTACATAGTGAGACCCTGTAGTTAAAAAAAAAAAAAATCCTGAACAGAGAAATTGGAAAATTTGCCCTAACAGAATAGCAATTACAAAGAATTACTAAATCTGTTTTTCACTACTGGTAGCTTTGCACTGAACTATACCACTTTCATTCCTATCCCTTTTCATTTTTTATTCTAAATGAAGGTCTTGCTAAGTCACCATGTTGCCCAGCCTAGGCTCAAACTTGGGATCCTCATGCCGCAGCCTCCCAGATTCTTGGATGCACAGATAGGTGACATCATGATTCACCTATTACTGAGTCTTTTTTAATTATTATTACTGAATCTTGAACCTAGCTCTTTTACACAAAACACCGTGCTCTTATCCTCTTTTCTAATGTGACTCCATTAATTTATTTAATGACTGACCTATAGTAGATACTTTGGTATTAATTTTTAGCAGTTGTAGTCCATATGTCAGTGACTATATGAACATAACCTAGATATTTAGTCAAGAACTCACTGAGAAATGCACGTGATAAGCATTAGTGAATATTTCCCAAGTAGTGTATCTACAAACAGACTTGACTTTTTTTCTTTTACGTATCTTTTTTTGCAGTTGAATCCAGGGCCCTGCACATTTAGGCAAGTGCTCTACTGCTATGCCCCATTCCCAACCCAACATTTTATTTCTAACAGCAGAGTATCAAATTCTGTGTTGCTTAATAACCAACACTGAATATTATCAGTCTTTTTCATCTTTCTTCATCTAATCAGGGAAGCATCCCTTAGTTGCAGTTATGGGTCAGTGTTTCTTTGTATGTCATCATTTGTGTACTGTATTGTGTTTTCAGAATTGTTGTCCTAAGGGCAGTGTTTAGCATGTAATACTACATCATGTACATTTGTTGTCAGTTGTAGATAACACTACAGTGTACGTTTTTGCATGTTTCCTTAAAATGCTATTTATGGAATTAATGAGTGGAGGCAGTTATTGAAGCTCTAAATACAAAATATAACAAAATTTCTTTTCAAAGAGTTGGTCCAGATGCCAGGTGTGATGGTGCGTGCCTGTAATCCCAGTACTCAGGAGGCTGAAGCAGGAGGATTGTAGTGAGTTCAAGGCAAGCCTGGACTACAAAGTGTGCTTAAAGCCAGCTGGAATTGCATCGTGAAACCCTGTCTCAAAAAAAGAAAAAAAAGAATTGGTCCATTTTACCATCCATTCATATTGTGGAGTGGGAATATTTTTTTTTAACTTTTTTTTTTAAGTATAACAATATAGAAAAGTTCACATATCTGGATTACACAGCTTGATGCATTAATGAACTGGACGCAGCCTTCTCAGGAGCACCCATTCCCAACACCCCCAGCAGCTTCTTTGTGCTCTTTGTGTTACCCTCATCGCCTTCACCCTCATCATTACAACTTCTGACACAGAATCATATTCCACATATGATGCTTGAAAGCTGTCACCTTTCCATATATATATTTTTTTATCATGCAAGCAACATGTTTAGTTTTTTTCTTTAAAGAAGCACTATTACAAAATGAACAAAGTACTATACATTTTAAAAAGCATATATTACTCCCTAATGAACACTTCAAGTAATGATTTCAATAGTGTATTAATGTATGTTAAATAAATGTGTTTTATTGGAAAGAGAATCCTGCAGACCAGGAGGTCTGACATAATTATTGTGTCACTTTGAAGCTTTTATAATGTGTGTAGACCTGAGGTTCTCAACTTTCAATCTTTAAGACTCAACAGAGAGACTTGTTAAAATGTTTCACAAGGAATCTGACTTAGTAGGTCTGTACGGGGCTCAAAAAGCTGCATTTTTAAAATACCTTGGGTGTGTATCTCAGATAAGTCACCATGTGAACTGTACAAGAACAGGACCCTAATTTGTATCATTTACTGCTCCACACTTTACATATATTAGACATCAGTACTTACTGAATGAATGAGTACTTTGGAGGTTAAAAGGAAGTGGTTATTATTTAGACCACAGTAGGAATTCTAAATGCTGGGGCATTGTCTGATCTGCTGCTCTTTTATAATGGATTTTGGAGTTTCTAAAAATCAAATACCTTAACATTTGCATCAATAAAAAGTCTACATGCTAATAATAATTATAAAATGTCTTGACAGCCTTTTTTCTCCCCAAGAAAAAAGAATTGTATTTCAGTCATCATGTACTTATTTTACATCATTTTACAGTGTATTGGATTCTGGTTAAAGGTGATAAGCAAAAGGGCTCAATTCAGTCATGTATTTTGCTTGAGATTATGTTTGTAGATTGATTCATTTTCTTTTCTATTACGAAATTGTTTTTGATAACCACCCTGGAAATTCACTCTGTTATGAAATAGTCTCTATGTCACTTGAATACAACTCTGAAATAAAATAAGGGAATATACATGGTTTTTTACATGTGTTTGTAAAAGCATGGCCAACCCATGAGCACAGGCTTGCATTTCTACCACAAGGATGCCACTTACTAGCTGTGTGACTTGGAGAAAGCTGTAGTTTTTCTGGACCTAGGGTTCTTCAGTGGACCCTTCTTCTCTCTTCCTGCTTAAACTTAATTTACCTGTTTTTTTAGGAAAGGTCTTTATCTGTATTCCCTTATTTTAGACTGAAATAAAAGCCAAGTAATAGCTTTTCATTTAAAAAATAACATCAGTTTTGCTGTTTGAATTATTAACCATGATTTTCTTTAAAGCTGTTTTTCATTTGTTTTCTGATTTTCTGTATGTTCCATTAGGACATGAAGGATCAGATGTCGACTTCATCTGTGCAGGCTTTAGCTGAAAGGAAAAACAGACAGGTGAGAAAATAGCAGAATACAAGTGTCAGTCAAAGGAAATACACACTTATATATTTACAGTGCTGGTCAACCATGTATCATATGATGAAAAACACTGCTGTGCATGCTGAACCTGGAGTGACGCTGGCCGGTTTTTGAAAGTCTAGTGTGTTAGCATGCATTTCATTACTGTGACAAATACATGAGATAATTAGCATATAAAGAGAAAAGGTTCATTTTGGTTCACAGTTTTAGAGGTTATACTCTGATTGGTTGTCCCCATTGCATTTGGGTCTGTGACAAGAGAACATGACAGCAGCTTGTGAAAGACCATTTACCTCATGACTGGATGTGGAAGAGGAAGGGGTTGGGGACCCAGTATCCCCTCAGAGATATGACCCACATAACCAGAAAACCTCCCACGAGGCCAGTGATGGAAAGCAAGCTGAGTGCCCAGGCTGCACCCAAATCCACTTATTTATTGCTAAGTGCCAACACTGAAATTAACCGTGAATACTGAGGTGGTAGTGGGAAAAACAGCCCATACATTAACATCTTTTGTTTTAAAAGAAAAACACAACAGAGCTTTCAATGATACAATGATAGAATGATACAAACAAGTGTTTATTTAAAGGTAAAAGTTTGCATCTGGTGTGTTTTGCACACTTAATATGATCTTTGAGGTTGTATGATGCTGATAACTTGTTCACCCTTGTCTGAGGCCACTTGTCTCACGTGCCAACAGAAAATGTTCTGTAGGGTTCACTACAGCTACATTAGGCTCTACCTCGTAAAGGTTCTGCCACATTGGGTATGGTGGCACACATCCATAATCCCTGCACTCTGGGAAGCTGAAGCAGGATTGCAAGTTTGAACCCAGCCCAGACAGTTTAGTGCCTTAGCAAAATAAAATAAAATAAAAGCGAGACCCTGTAGACCCAGTACCATTAGGCCACGGACAGAGCTGAACACCTGATGGGGCCCCAGCTCTGTCCATAACCTCATGGTACACAGTACTTTTTTTTTTTTTTTTTTCAATTTATGTTATTTTTTAATGTATTTAGTACAGGGTCTACAGGGTCTCACTTCACAGATCGGATTCGTAGTGATCCTCCTGTTTTCAGCCTCCCAAGTGCTGGGATTACGGGCGTGCACCACCATGCCCAGTCTCCACAGTACTTTCTCTTTTTTATGACCCTGAGAAAATTGTCTTGAGGCCCAAATGGGCGTTTGTAGAGTTTTAGGTCAGAATGAGCAAGATCTTTTCAGTCTTGATAACCATAAGACCAGGTCAGGGCACAACCACCAGAGGAGGCGTTGGGCCTGCTTTACCGCAGAGACAGTCACATCCAGCTTCTTGATGAATGCCCTGGTCCCCTCAAAGCTGTCCTGAAAAGAGCTTCTGATTACTGAGTGTCACAGGAGCTCTTCTGATCACTACCTCAGAGCTTTCCCCTCCTGTCCCTTGGAACCTGGCACTTAGAATCGGAAAGTCGTGAGGAGGCCAGTGTGGGTATGGAGGAGGGCTGTAAAGCTGTTGCAGGAGAACCAAGTAAATGGTCAGTCTTTTAATAATGTCAAAGACTTTTTTTTTAAGCCCTGATGTGAACATTGTGAATGTTACCAGAAATAAGAATGTTAGTTGCAGCATCTTGTGAGTCCTGTTATAGGGCTGACCTGAGCAGCTGTTAACGTGTCCTAAAGGTAGGAACCTGATCCATACCAGCTGCCACCACTGCCTGGTCTCTTATGTAAGGAAGACATTCCCAAATGTGATTTCTGGCTTCACACTTCTCTGAATTCATACTTGGCACACCTGACCTGGCCTCTAGGAGCCCTGGTGGAGCCTATTGTGAGGACCAGCATGTGCTCAGATCGTCAGGGCCAGGCAGTCCTTGTGATTATAGGAAGAACATGCTTTCCCCAGAAGCGGCACACTGGGTATTCTCTGGAAAGCCAGTAGGTTGCATTTCTGCTGAAGGGCATTGGGTTTTATATAGATATTAAATCCAACAAACATGGGTGGTTCTGTGCCTTCTATGTGTGAGACATACCTTGTCATTCTGGAGAGGTGCCCCAGTTCCCCCTAAAAACTAAAACTTCCGCAGATCATCCTTCAATAATAGATTTTAGGTTTGTGGAACCAGTTTAACCAAACCTTTGTGTCCTGGTTCCTAGGAAGGGCTGTTCTGGGAAACTAAATTCTGTTACATTTTGATTCCTTATAAAGATGTGTGTATAACGTAGACATTTATTTGCATGTTCAGGGGACAAAGCTTATGTGAGTTCCATGGCAGAGTGAAGAGGCCCATACTGGAATTCCTTATGTTGTACCACTAGTGAAAGCCTGGCCTCTGCCTGTCACCGTATATGTCACTTATTCAGAGATAGTACCTGCCTGTTTCTTCTGACTCCTGTCATCTTCACTCACACAGGCACTGCTGGGTGACAGTGGCAGCCAGAACTGGAGCACTGGAGTGACAGATCAGTATGGACGCCTTGATCGAGAGCTGCAGTTAGCCAATTCCCACTTCATCGAGGAGCAGCAGGCACAGCAGCAGGTACCCCGAGTGCAGCCAGCCAGAGATGGGAGGTGGAGGTGGGCCCTGCCCCTGGTTCTTCTGCCAGCCAAAGGGTTTGTTGCATAATGGCAAACAGGTTCAACCAGAGCTTGGCTTATGGTTGACTGTATCAAATAGAGGATGATTGTGTATGTATCTAAGGTTTTAAAACCTTCAGAGTACAGTTGAGAATGATGTGCACACCTGTAATCCTATCTACTTGGGAGGCTGAGACATAAGGATATTGAGTTCAGGTTCAGCTTGGGCACCTTAGTGTGACCCTGTCTCAAAATTTTAGAAAAAGGACTAAGGTTGTAACTCAGTGATAGAGCACCTGACAGCACGTGTGAGACCCTGGGTGTGATGGCCAGCACCACAAAAAACACCAAAAACTTAAAAACCCAACCAAACAAAAACCTTTCAAGCAGAATGTTGGAGAACCATGCTAATCAGGTCTGAGGAAAAACAGCAGAGCTGACATCCAAGTTGACAGAAACACCTAGGATTTTTTTTTTTTGAGACAGAATCTCACTTTGTATTTCATGCTGGCCTTGAACTCACTACCCACTGTGCAGTCCTACCTGGCCTTAAATCCTCCTGTCTCAGCCTTAGGAGAGATGGGTTCATAGGCATGCACCACCACATCCTGCAGACCTTGGATTTTTTGAAAAGAAAAAAAAAAGTGTGCCTCAGCTTCTTATTTGTATATTGAGTTTTTTGTTCAGCAAACTTCAAGAAAGATAGAATCCTTTTTTTCAATGCATATCGTTAGTCTTTTATTCCAACATAGAAAAATAGCTGTTTTGATGGAGGTTGAGAGAAGTTAAGAAAGTGAAGTTGAAAAAAAAAAGAAAAAGAAAGTAAAGTTGATCATGTCTGTGCTGTTGCTTTTGATGCGTAGCCATATTAATAAAAGGAAACTAGTAACCAAGCCAACTTTTTTATAGACGGTGGATAGAGAGCAGTTAGAAATCAATAGTTGTTTGCTGGTCAGTAGTTGTCCTTGAGGTAACTTACTGCCGCAGGACCTTCTCTTTTTTATAAAGCATATGTTTGTTTTGTTTTGTTTTGGTGGAACCGGGGATTGAACTCAGGCCCTTGCGCTTGCCAGGCAAGTGCTTATTCCACTGAGCCATCTCCCCAGCCCCCTTCTCTTGATTATTGTTGAGGAGGAAGAAAAAAATCTGTGTGCATAGTTTTTCCAAATCCAGAGATTTGCCAAGTTGTGTTACATTTAAGCTGTAGCAGTTTGTGTTGTGGATTGAGACCTTGATCTTAGCAGTGGGCTTCCTCCCAGATAGTGCTATGATTCAGTGGTCATCTGCATGTGCGCTTTTGGTTATTGTCTGTTCCCTTTTTGGCCTTCAGCCAACCAGAGTAAATCTCTCTTGGTGGTTTCAAGCCCCGCTGACTGTTCACAAGTTGGATCAGCAGGAGATATCAGTGGTTTGACAATCCAGCCTTTTGAGCAGTGTGTACTCAGAGGCAACGGTCTGGTCCTTTGATTTCTGGGCTTTGCTTCTGAATGTGAATTGTCCCAAGCTGGCAAAGAAACTAGCAGCTGCTAGAGTGCTGGGCTTGGAACCAGGTAAGATGGATTTTAATTGCTTATTTCCCATTTCTCTGGCACCAGTTGATTGTGGAACAGCAGGATGAGCAGTTGGAGCTGGTCTCTGGCAGCATTGGGGTGCTGAAGAACATGTCCCAGCGCATCGGAGGGGAGCTGGAGGAACAGGCAGTGTGAGTATTGAGCCCCTTTTGCTGTAGTGAAATTGAGGGAAGAGCCATCCCTAAAAGGCCTGGAAGTTACAATGCTGGTAAAACCAAAAGCTGTTGTATTTATAGCTGCATTTTTATTCAGCTGCATGGACTAGCCTCCAAAAGAAGCAAATCTATCAGATAAAATTATGACAGGGCTTAGGTGAGGTTATTGTTTTTAAGCACCTCAAAAAGCAAACATTTCTCCGAACAGATACTGAAAGGATAGTTATGAATGAAAATGTAAAACAAACGTGACCAAAACCCCTTATATATTATGAAGAGGAGGAATTAGCTAAAGGAGCCCCACAAAGTTAGTGTTATACACTGTCTTCAGGACTCCTGGTACACTGAACAGGACTTTCTTATCATAACTTACTACTTTATGAAAAACTTACAACTTTAACTCTAGTTAACAACAACAAAACTTTCTTCTAGGGGGCTAGGGAGATAGCTTAGTAGAATAAGCGCTTCCCTGGCAAGCGCAAGGGCCTGAGTTCAATCTCCTGTTCTGCCAAAAAAACAGACAAACTTTCCTCTAAAAAAAATAAGGAAATATGACTTTGTAAGTTCTTCAAGAGTAATCTCTTTTGAGGCTGGCAAATATAACTCAGTTGTGTAGGGCCGGCATAGCAAGCGCCAGGTCCTGATTTTTTTTTTTTTTTTTTTTTTTTTTTTTTTGGCAGAGCTGATTTTTTTTTTTTTTTTTTCAGGTCCTGATTTTAATTCCCAATACCCTCCCCCTCCACATTCCAAAGTGTGATAGCAGAAACAACATTCTTTTTTTTTTTTTTTTGCGGAACTGGGGATTGAACTCAGGTCCTTGCGCTTGCCAGGGAAGGGCTTATTCCACTGAGCCATCTCCCCAGCCCCAAGAAACAACATTCTTAAATGTCACCACCCAATATCATTACCATTTTACAAATTATTTTCCAGGGGAAGAAAAAATACAGTCTACCAGGATATTTTAGAAACTCTTCCTATTGCAGTCTTATGTTCACTGCTGTGTGTCCATTCATTCTAGATTCTCACTGGGCTTCTGTTTTACACTAGGTCCTCAGTGAGACCCTGGGGATATAGGAGTGAATGGAACAAATGCTGTCTCTGCCATGGTAAAATATGGTCAAATGACCACTATATACATGAAGGCAGATTGTTAAGTGATGACATTAGAGCAAAGGGCATTGACTTAGCTTAAATTCCCTGAAAAAGAGGGGTTTAACTGCAACTTGCAGGATGTATGAAGGCAGCCAGGTGAGGTGGAAAGTGAGTTTGGGGAGCTGAGGAAGGGTGTGTTCCAGGAGGAAGAAAGAGCACCTATGAAATCTGGTGCAAAAGTGAATGGAGCAGAGAGAGATCATGTGTCTCCAGGATGGGGATTATGAGGCGAGTGGCAGACGTCCAGATAGGGAGGTAGATCAGCATATAAAGAGGCAAGACTTTCCTTCTGAGCCTGATGGGGAGCCAGGGAGACAGTGTTACGGGTGAGGACATGGTTAGTGTTTGGAGAGACCGATCTGTCTGGGATGTAGAGATGTGACAGTGTGGAGCCAGACAAGGAAAGCGGGTACAGGGTGTGGAAGCAGCAGGTATCTAGACACAAAGGCTTCATTTCTATCTGAAATGGCTTCTGATCCTAAAATGCTGGTTGAAATGGAAAGGAACTAATGGTTTGAGCTACTGTGCTGGTGTGGCAGCTCAACAATGAGACAGTCATTCAGGCTCCCAGTTACAGTGGACAGTTGACACCCTATCTCCATGTACCTTGTCTCCATTCCCTCTAACGGCCACTAAAGCAATGCTAAAGGAATTTTTCAAAGACATAAGACCTATGGGGGTCACAAGCGTGGAATAAGAAATAGTAGTTACAACACGTTAGCTTTAGAAAGCAAATAGATGACTTGTTACAGACTCAACAGGCCAGAGAAAGCTGAAGCCCAGCAAGCAGTGTAACTCATATCATAGCCCCACTCATCTGTGAATAACATTTATTTGGTAATTTGATGTAAATGCTGAACATCGACCCAATCAAACTCACATAGCTATCAGGAGGTGGGAATCAAATGGGAAGAGGACGAAATCTCATGGTGTGATGGTGCTGAATCAGCAAAGTCAAAAGAAAACAGTTGAGTTTTCACAAAACCCGAGTCTTCATAAAAAGCCTATACGGGAGCCAGTGTTATAGCTCAGCAGCACAGGGCCTGCCTGGCAAGACTGAGGTCATGAGTTCAAGTCCTGGGCCCTCCTCTGCACCCCAAAAAAGCCTGTACAGTCAGTCATTTGTCTTCTTAAACCAGGCATCAGTGTAACTCTGGTAAAATGTAAATTAAAAGAGCAAAGCATGGTTGTGAGACCCAGCCCCATGCTGTCCTGTGTGAGCGCATGTGCCACATGTGGCTAGGGAGCAGGCGGGCCATGGCCAGACTTGAGTTCAGAGTTGTGCTGTGAGAGCAAAGTGCACACGGGACTGTCAGGTGAAAATGTGGATGGTAGCTGTGTGTGTGTGTGTGTGTGTGTGTGTGTGTGTGTGTGTGTGTGTATTATAGTTGATAATATTGTGGATGTATTAGGCTAGATTATTAAAATTTCACCTGTTTTTATTTTTAAGAAATAGCCACTGGAAGATACCAAATGACATATGCAACTTGTGTTTGTGTCGTGTGGCATTCGGTTAGGAGGGGTTAGAAGCTTGGTCAGTGAGTATCCTTGGCTGAAGGTGAATGATGTGCCTGTTTTGTCTGCAGTAAGAAAGCCATACCCAGCAGACAAAGGTAGCTCTTGTTTGTCAGCGTTTGGCCCTGCCTGGAGGGCCTGCCAGCTGCAGGGCCAGAACGCTGCCAGGATCTAAGATGCACTGAAAATGTTTTAATTTGCAAACTCAGGTAAGGAACAAAGACTTACTTATTTAGTTGTCAATTTGAGTTTATTTAGTAGTTGACCTAATGAGGAGCTGGTCACCCTAAATCCTACGGGACCCTCATGAGTCCTTTGTGGCTACACACCAAAGCCAATAGTTTGTAGATGCCAGTGACACTGTCAGAGTTAACAAGGCCTTTGTAGTAAGAGCCATGGTACTAATTGGTGTGTTAAATTCTAGCCTCAAAGTAATCACATACTAATCAAAAGTTGAGAAATCTGAAATGTGTGGTAATTCATGAAATAAATAATTCTGGAATAAGACTACAGTGTTTTGTTTCCCCACTGTATATTGGACAGCAAATAGTAGATGTCTCCTGGGGTTAGTTCTGGAGGAAACACTGCTCCTCTGTGAGCAGACAAGCTGCATGCACACTGTCAGGGGTCTCAGTCCTCAGACTTTCTCATTATGACAAAGCACAGGGTGCTTTGAAGGAGACTAGAGCAGATTAGATTCCTTGACTCAACGTTGATACGAAGTGCTTTTATGTACTCCATGGTCTTCAGACGCACCTTGTGAGGAGTGTTGGGCTGGTAGGGTCACCCCGTTTTACAGGTGAGGAAAAGTGAGTGGTAGTGTCTGTGGTCCAGCAAAGTTGCCAGGCAAAGCTGCCTGACTTTTCAGAGCTTGCTTTCTGCCACACTGCTCTGCTATTGTTTTATAGTACTGGACAGGCAGGTTCTTGCTGGCTCACCTGGCGTTCTGACTTCTAGAAACTCTCAGCTAGGCATGGTGGCACACACCTGTAATCCCAGCACTCTGGGAGGCTGAAGCCAGAGTACTGCAAGTTCAAGCCAGCCTGGGCAAGTTAGTGAGGATTTATCTCAGAACAAAAGAGATAGGGGTATAGTTTGGTGTGAAGACCCTGGATTCAATTCTTAGTACTCTAAAAAAGAAAAATATATAGGAAGCTCTAAAAATTCAAGATTCAGTTTAAATTTTTTTTTTTTTTTTTCTTTTCAGGGGCTGGGGACATAGCTTGATGGTCTAAGCACCTGCCTGGAAAGCACAGGACCTGGGTTCAATCCCTGGTACCACAAGCCTTGCCAGCCCTGGAACCCTGGGTGCACTATGCTGCCCACCGAAACAGTTGTAGCAGTGCCCACCTTTGTATAATCCCAGTGCAGTGAGACAGGAGGATCACTGCAAGTCTGAGCTGTGTAACAAGACCCTGTGCCAAATAAATATAGGTTTTTTTAAAAAAAACCTTTCAGCAATCTCATATTGCAAGAAAATCTCACCTGAGCTGATTGACTATCATTTGTCACAGTTTTCTCTGTAGAAATATGTTTGATTGAGGGACTGCCCCAGGCCCTGCTGGGGTTGTTGACAAATATACAGTGTATATACCTTATCTTGTTAAAAACCCCTCAAACTCCAAAGTCAAAAACATGTCTTGTCCTGAGGATTTTGAATAATAAATTGGGGCCCTGAAGCCCAGTGTTGCTGATTAGGTTTGCTAGAGTGGAGACCTAGATGCTGATGGGATGCCGTGGCCGATGCCTGCCAAGGTTTTGCACTTACTGCCTGCCCTCTGCTTGTTTCCCTCTCTAGCATGTTGGATGATTTCTCTCATGAGTTGGAGAGCACTCAGTCCCGGCTGGACAATGTGATGAAGAAACTTGCAAAAGTGTCTCACATGACCAGTGGTACGTATGTTGAAATCTCAAGAATTCACACTTAATTATGGGAACTGTGCAAGGTCCCTTGCACTTGTGCCCATACTGGTTTCTTTCCTGTGGGATATACCATTTGTCTGAGAGAGGTTAGGGTCAGAGAATGGAAGATTAGAGTGTAAAGTCCTTAGCATCTATGTAAGGCTCTAATTTGGGGAAAGGGCCCTGCTTCCTTCCCTCAATGATCCCTGGTTTTTCCTCCTAGGAAGGCAGCTTTCTTTTTGCATTTACAGCCCCACCCCATTCTATTTCCTTGCCAAAACAGGGAATTTAGTTACAGCAGTAATTAAGAAGCCAGCTAGAGTTTCTCCTAACTCCCTTTCTTTCATTGATAGAAAAGCCTCTACCACCTCAGAATAAGATGGCCTTTTAAATTTAATTTAAATTTAAAGCTACAGCAAAATAATCCTAGAAAATTTGTACCAGGATGGGTGGGTGGGGGTGACAAAGTAACAGTTTTCAAATTAGATGTTTTCCAAGAACTTCTCAGTTTTTTATTACAAGCCTCCTCCCTGATTACATGAGAAATGATACATTTAAATCAAGGAAAATCTCTTCTTTCTTATCTGGTGGAAGTGTCTTGGTGGAAGGAGGAACTGATCCCCTCCTAGAGGTCTTTGGGTGTTGTTGGCATCCCTGGTAACGCCTCAGTCCTCTGTGGGTCTCCTCCTGTCAGGTGTATCTGACATGAAAGATTTAAATACATAGGTGTTTACTGTTCAGCATGAGCCTGGCCAGGTTATGTAACAGTTCTCTTGGACTCAGTTTCTTATCTGTAAAAATAGGTTGAGGGCGTGGGGGTATGGCTGAGTGGTAGAGTGTTTGCCTAGCACATGTGATACAAGGCCCAGGGTTTATTCCACCGCCAACACTGGGAAAAAAAGATTTCTACCTCTCAGGATTATAGAGAAGTATAAACTGATGATGATGATTATGATGTATGTCTGTGACAGTTTCCACTGTGTACTCATACTTAGAAAATGTTTTTAAAAATCTTCAAAAGACAATAATAGATTGATTCCTACCTCAATCTGACGAGATTATTGTGAGGAATACATGAAATCGTGATGTGAAAGTGTTTAACGGTGTTGTCATGTGGTCACACTTAGTGAATGTTTAAAAATGTCATGAGACAACAGATTGTCCTAAAGGGCAAAAGACCTGTCACATCTGAAAAAGGGGGAAGCGCGTGTCTACAGTTATTTTCTCCGTATGCTCCTAGCAGGCACTTCCTTGCCTGAAGCTATGCATATAGGAAGCAGGCACTGGCTTCGTCCTTCCCACTGAGGCTTGCAGAAAGGTTCGCAAGTGTTCCCTCTGGTTCTCTCTGTTCTCTTCCACCCTCACCCTTCTACTTTAAAAAAAAAAAAAAAAAATGTAATGAGGTGTTACATAAGTGGCTTAAACACCAGGCCTCTTACTAGTGTATGTGTTAGTTGCAAAGTCAAGTAGCTGCTTCAGCACCAGTTTTGTTGGGGAAGAGGGAGTGAACAAAGATCCACTGTGTCTTTGTTTCCCAGCTTTCTGGGTATGAATAATTTAGAATAAAGTACTTGCTTTGTGATAAGGGCCTCCATGTGTGTCAGTAGCCCTGAGGCTGGCTTATGCTTTATTCTGTGTTTTCCCAAAAGGAAAGTTTGAGAAGCAAAGTAAGAACTTTGATTATATTTGTACAAGAAAAAGCCAACAGTCTGAAAGGCCCTTCATTTTAGGCATGTTACCTGTGTTTTCATTTTAATCTTTGCTTGTTACCCAAAGGAATATTGTTTACAAACCTCCCCCTTTGGCTGGTATCTGCTTCAGTTTTTTAAACCAGACAATTTGCAATTGTTTTGTTTCTCTACTCTAACTTTTGGTTCAATTCACTATTTCATTCAAACCTGTATAGATAAAGGAAGCATGGAGTCTGCTTAAGTAGCTGTGAACACACATCCACAGTTCTTCTGAGGCACAATCCTTTCTTCCCTCCCTTTAGCTATTGCTTCTTGGGGGAAATCAGCGAAGACTCTATACTTCTGTGAATGACCCAAGAAAGACAGTAATTTTACCATTTTTCTACCTAGTAAAATGTGTCCTTTTGCATTATAGTAAGATCCCCTGTACCCCCAGTTTCCAACTTTCTGTTGTTCATCTTCTTTAGGAGAGCAAAACGTCTTGAGAAAGAAAGAAAAAAGCTACCATTGGAGTTGTCTTTGTTTCTGACTTTCTGAGGCAGGTCCTGAGTTTGCAGAGTTAGTTAAGGGCTACAGTCAACTGAGAATACAGTGTTAGTCTGAGAACATCACAGTATGCAGTATGAGAATATTAAATATGAAATTTCAGAAGCCCTTCTTAAGTTTTATTTTATTTCATTGTCAGTTTTTTGAGACAGTGTCTTGCACTGTGGTTCAGGCTGGCCTTGAGCCTACTTGGTGGACATTCGGATTGATTCCCTGTCCTGGCAGTTGTGAGCAGTGCTCAGTACATGTGGAGTACAGATATCTCTCCAACATGCAGAGCGCATTTACTTTGGTTATATGTGTATCCAGAATGGGGTGTCCAGGGTGTATGGTAGCTCTATTTTTAGTTTTTTAAGGAATCTCCATACCGTTCTGTACAGTGGCTATACTAATTTACATTTCCAGCATTGTCTTTTGAGGGTGAGGTAGTACTTTACTGTGGTTTAAAAAAATTTTTTTTAAATCCCTTTTTCTTACCCCAGCAACCACAGGTCTTTTTATTGTCTCTATAGTTTTGCCTTTTCCAATATATATATAGTTGGCACTATACAGTATAGAACTTTCTCACATTAGTTTCTGTCATTTAGTAATATGCATTTAAATTTCCTCCATGCCTTTGACAGCTCATTTATCTTGTAGCACTGAATAATATTCCACTGTCTGAGTACTATGGATTATAGTCGTCGCCCCTCATCTGTGGGTTTCAGGATCTCCAGTGATAACTGAAACCATGCATAGTAGTGATGCAGCATTAGGGTTACTTGAACACAAGCCCTGTGGTACCATTGATCTGATAACCAAAACAGCTATTAAATGCTGAAGGCTGAGTAGCATGTACAGTGTAGATACGCTAGACAGAGGGGAGATCCACTCACTTCCTCAGATGGGCCAACCAGAAGTTAAGCAGGTAGGAAGCCAGGACGTTAAGCAGGATGACTGTGGTCTGAAATATTGAATACAAAGTTCCTCAAATTTTCCTAAATTTTAGTTTACTTTTAAAATTTTATTTATTTGTTTATTTTGAGACCAGGTCTTCCTCTGCAGTTCAGGCTGAATTTGAGCTTACTCTGTAACCCAGGCTGGGTTGAAGAACTCCCATCAATCTTCCTGTCTCAGCCCTCCGCCTCCCCCACGGCTGGGATTGCAAGCATGTACCACTATGCCTGGCTTTGCTAATTCTTTTTAACCAGGTTGTTTTAATTTTTGCTAATTCTTTTCAACCAGTTGTTTTAACTTTTCTTAACCATATTATTTTTATATTGTCAAAATTTAGAAGTCATTGTACACTTTGGATAACAGGCCTTTATCAGATGTGACTTTCAGAAATAGTTTCTCCCTGTCTGTAGCTTAGCTTCTCTTGACTGTGTCTTTTGCAGAGCCGAAGGGTTCAGTTTTAATGAGACCTCAACATCAGTTGCTCCTTTCATGGGCAGCACCCCTGTGTCCTGTCCTAAAGTTACCCGAGGTCTTCAAGGTGAGACAGGGTGGTTACAGTGTCCTGAAGTCAGCTTTTCCTGCCTCCCGTGCTAGTTAGGCTGGGAGAAACCTCAGTCGGCTGGCTTCTTGTAGCCTAGTTTCTCCAGAGGAAGAGTGTAGTTAAGGACAGAATCTCTAGCTTATTTCAAATGCCAGTTACCTTATTTTCAGTATTGTTGGTTATATTTAAATTTTCTGTATAGTACAGCACACTTCTTATAATAAATAATAGTTTCCATCTCTCTGAGTTCAGAACCAAGGGAATATTTTTCTCCCACATTCATTGTGAGAACCTGGTCGAGCCTCTGGATATAACAGTCTTGGAAGAGTGGGGGATCCCTTTACTCTCCTGAGACCTTTTATAAGGTAGCCCTGTCTTCACTGCGCCTCCAGCATCTGTCAGTTAAACTTCAAGCTTTCCTCTCCAAGCCTCATTCTGGTGGAGGCGGTGGTGGATTTGTGCTGTTAAGTCGTGATTCTCTGCATTTACCTGCAGGTTTCTCCATTATTAGTGGCAGCAGCCTCCCCTGGACCTCACTTTTCTGAGGGATCTAAGAATTGATTTTTTTTTTTTTTAAGTTTGGTTAGTATTTTAGTTGTTAGGACACAGTGGTAACTTCTAAGCTCTGTGCTTGCCAGACTGGAAACTGGAAGTCCAGCACCTTAAAGAGATGAAGGAGTGATAGATATGCAAATTTTCTTTACCACTGAAGTGAGACTTAAGCAAGTTAAAAGTCTGTGATAGACCAACTCTGCCTCTCAGAACAGTGCAACTTCAGAAAGGGGATGGATAGATTTAGAATATTTGTCTGAAGCATGTTACTAAGTGAATTTCTGGCATGTCTGAGGTAGACAGGGCGATCATTTTTTAAGACAGTGCTTGTGAGCTGGGTGTGGTGTTGCATGCCTAAATCCTAGCTACTTGGCAGGCTAAGGCAAGAGAAAGTTCAAGGCTTGCCTGGGCATCTTAATGAAATCCTATCTTAAAGTAAGAAATAAGAAAGGCCAGAGATCTCAGTAGTGAGTACCCCTGGTTCAATTCCCAGCACCAGCCTCCAATAAAAGAAAGAGGAAAGAAGTTACTTACTTTAATTTAGAGGCAATTCTCTTGACCAGTTCTAAGATTTTGATATACATGACATTTAAAATAGTTATAAGTACATGTTTTGGTTTGTGGAAAGCTTTGCAACCTGTTTTAGCCTTCTTATAATGTGATTTTCAAAGTTGTGCTGTGTTAAAATCTGCTGGCTTTCCAAAATCTTCGATAAATACGTATTACCTTTACGTTTCTGTGTGAGTGGAACTCATTCCTAGTGGCTGAACCACAGCTTTCCTAGGCTAGTGCAGTCCTGATATATCAGTCTGACCCTCCGTAGGAGACACTGACTCACTGTGCAGAGAATGTTAAGGAACTCTCTCTGAGGTAGGGAAGTGTCTCTTGGACCACAAGTGAACATGATGCACCGTGTGGCTCGGTTTTTGTTGTTTTGTTCTCACAACAGCCCTGTGAGGCACCAGGATAGTGTTAGAGCCACAGGCAGGACTGTGGGGTGGCGTAGGTTTCCTGGGCTGGTGTGGGCTCTTCTGTCTTCTGTCTTGTGGGACCTCCCTACTCCCAGCCACTCAGAAGGACTCTAGCCACTTTGTATCCTATTCCTGCTGTCCTAACTTGTTTGTGGGCCAGAAGGTTTCAGAAAAGACACTGTGCTTTCAATTACAGAGGGGCTTATATGTTACTTTCAACATGGTTACTGTTTAGTGAACCTTCTTGGTTGAATAGATGTGGTGTAATCATTAAGTTTGATCTCTTACTAGAGCTTGGTTTTTTAGCTGTTCACTTCCCAAAGCAACCCATGATAGCTTTTACCACCTTTCACCTCTTGCAGTGTTCATTGAAAATGTATGTGGTATGTTGAATTAAATGACTTCAGTAGGAGATGAAAGCTGTAATACCAGTGCCAGCACCTTTCCCAGAAAGCTGAGGTCCTCGGATTTTAATTAAAGACTGAGACCTCAAAGCACGTTCTTACTCTGCAGCACTTTTCGAGGGTCCGGTAAAGTTGGAGGCCCATGAAGTACAGGCCAAGGGCAGAGTGGGATTTGAGTACAGGGCACAGAGGCAGGCTCCAGATCCTCTGTGTCCTGTCGCTGTTTAACAGGTGCTCAGATGCCATGTGCCTGTGCCTTGGGGAGTGGAGAGTGCTGAGCAGGCGCCTGATTACCCGAGTAATGTCCCTGTCCTGCCTTCCAGATCGGCGCCAGTGGTGTGCCATAGCCATCCTCTTTGCGGTCCTGTTGGTCGTGCTGATCCTCTTCCTAGTGCTGTGATGGTGCCACCACTCTGGTTCCTCCTGCCCAGGAGCCAAGGGAGGAGGAGAAACAAGCACACTCCGTCAGCTCACATTCCTTTCCTGGAAACCTGCCGCTGTGTGGCCTTTTCTCTGTGTGACTCCACATTTGAGACAGCTCCTCCATCCAGCGCTGGACGGACCACAGGCAGAGAAAGGAGATGACTGCATCCCTGGCTGGACAAGAGCCCTCCGCCTGTCCTGATCAAGGATAGCTAGCTACCGCTTTGCCTTGCTGGACATTGCTCCCAGAGGAGGGACTGTGTCACCAGGAAGAATGGAGAGACCCGCTAGTGTCACCACTGCTCATCCGTCGTCTCGGGCAGCTCTTTCTTTTGCTCAGAACTTTCCCTGCCCAGATGGGAACCAGTACCCTGTGGAAAGAAACCTGTTGAGAATGTGGCTGCTGGGTATGCTGCGTTTCCCTTGCTGTAACATTTCATGGTCCCTGAGAGAGCTGGTTATTGATGAGGACAGAAGCAGTCTGCGACAGAAAATACAGAGTTTCATTTTTCAGGGATAAGCACTAAGATAAAATTGCTTTTCCAGGTGCAATTTTTATTTTTATTTTTTTTGAGGGGGTAGTAATAACTAATGGAAACTAGTGAAACACCCTGGGTCTTAGGGTGCTAACAGCTTGTGGCTTACTTGTGGCTTTAATGGACAGTTAAAAAGGGCAGTGGGACCTGCATTGATCGGCACAGCTTAGGGAAGGGTTGATGATGTTGCCAGAGCTCAGGACTCCATGTTGCCGCCCCAGAGCTTCCCCCAGAGGTGCAGCTTGCAGTTTTAGGGTAACCCTTAAGTCTGTTGATGAACATCTAGGTAGAATGCTGGAATGAATTAGGACCCTGTGTCCTCTCTGTCACGTCTTTTTTCCTGTGGCACTCTACACCAGGGATGGGTTGGGAGTAGGTAGTACGCTCATTATATTTACAACGTGCTCATGCTACAGAAAGGCTGGCGCAGCGTCCTGGACCTGACTTCTCTTATGCTGTTAGTAATGGCAGCGTGGCCGGAGAACTTGATTCTTTTCTTCCCTAAGGTGACAACTTGACTTTATTACCCATTTAAATAACTGAGCCAATTCAAATTTAATGTTAGATGCGTTTATTGAGTTTAAGTAGCTGAGACTGCTGAGACACTAAAACCCGCAAGCCTCTGGTGACTTTTGCAGTGCCTCAAATGCGCACGTGTACATAGGGTAACTTTTATAACCTCCATGATGCACAATGTGATAAAGTAGTGGTGGATCCAGGGCCAGGACTCAGCAGTGGAGGCTGCAGTCTCCGCACCACGGCGTGCGCTTGGAGAGCGCAACAGTAACTGGAGAGCGCTCGAGCTTTGGCCTGTCTTGGAGCATTCCTCAGCACACTTTTTTCTTTTTTAAACACTTTCTTGTTTTGTATGTATTTCTTGCGGTTTTGTTTTCTTGGGTTTCCCCCCTTTATGATCTGCAATGGTGTGCTTGCCCAGCTAACTTTTAAATTGCACTTTTTAATAAATATCTGTAACAGTTTTTTAAAGAAGGATATTTTATCTTGTTTAGGATTATTGTAGGTAAGGAAATCTGCCTGTTGATGAAAGCTAAAAGCAGATTTATAAAACAGAAAGGGTGGTTTACATCCATGTTTACACTCACTTCTAATTTTTTATATATTAAATAAGTTATTTCTTTTCAAATTAGGAAAAAAGTAAATATGACAAAGGGCTTCAAAGGGATACTGAGTTATTTATGTTTTAAGACTTACTCAAATAGGTTTCTATAAACTTTGACCACAGATGGTCCCTTGCATTAAAATATAGAAGTCTTTTGCTAAAAATAAGTGTAGGTTTTTCCCCAGTACTGTAATCCATACTCCACGTTACAAGAAGCAGCTAGCATTTCAAAGAATTCTAAGAGTCTCCTAGTTAAAAGCCATGCTATTGTCTTGCTGTTACCATATTGCATGCCAGTCAGGGCTCTTTAGAACGTGGCCTGTCCCTAAGGAAAAACACCCTCCCATGAGTTCAAGGATCAAGGGTTGGCACCCCTGCTTAACTTCGTTTGCTACATTTTGAATTAATTGTGTTGACTGATTTAAGATGTTTACTAAACTACTGTAGACTTGACAAGCTGAAGCTGAGCAGGGAACCACTTAGAAAAAAATCAACTGAAATACAGGTGTTCTCCCCATGGGCCATGACACTCCTCCCTTTGGATGACTTAGTCCTGGCCTGGGCCTGCCGTGCCTTTCCAGCCTGGCCCTGCAGAGTGGCTGTTCATTTTGAAGGTCCTCTGTGCAGGCTCCTACCTGGCAGCCAGGAGCCATCTTCCGTGATTAGAGAACCTCAGTGGTCCCTTTACTCCTGTGTCCTGGGATAGGGAGAGAAGGAGGTAACAGGCGCACCTCACCTGCGTAAGCGCTCCTGGGGGGAGCTGGGTCTTCTGCACCAACTCTCAGATTCATCATTGGTGAGAACTGGCAGAACGTGATGGGTAACAGAGAAAGAGCTCAGTTTATGCTCACTGGAAGAACGTTTTACTTAACTGATCTGGGTGTGGGTAAGATGGGGATGAACCATTGAGAGATTCTGCCAGGGTGTGATTCCAACCGGAAAACCACAATACCTTCAGTTTTGAGTCCTGATTTCTTGTCTTTGTGTGGACTATGAAAAATCACAATTCGATGCCTGCTCTGGACTGTGGCAAGTGGAACTGAAGCGTGTGGTGCAGCATGGGTGTGGGTGTATATGTTACATGCAGCTCTTCCATAATTTTAGAATTCGTGCCAGAGCTGAAGGGTGGAAACTTGGTAACTTGCCCATTATTCTCTGCTGTTAGCCAGCATTAAACAGACTGATGGGTCTGGTAGCCAACTACTTGGCAACTTCTACTCCTTCTCACCTCGTGCGATTAAGGGCTGTGAAAAGAAATCTAGTCTAACTCCAACAGAAATCTGTCTCTGTTAAGTGTTTTACCTTCTGTGAGTAAAGGTGATGGAGCCAAGATTTTTCTTTTGGTAATTTCCCTGGCTATAAAGTAAGACCAGAGGGACAACTATTCCCTGTTACCTTTTTGAAGAATTCATAACGTTTGAAGATCAAGGAATTGAATGATAAATAAGAGCTGCATTTCAACTCTGGAGGGTTCCTCTAGTACCACAGGATGAGTTTGTAAACAAAACAAAGATGGACTGCCTGGAAAGCGTGATCCAAAGTACAGAATGCACTGCCTCTCTTTTTCCCTCTCTTTCACTGGATTTCTTTCCCTCCCGAGTTTATAAGACAATGCATGTATTTTTCTTTTGTCTAAAAAGAATGTTCTTTGCCCAGCGAGAGTGAAGAGAAGATGAAACCAAAAGGCCCCTAGATTTGTCACCTGCTCTGTCACTGAGTACTCTTACCAAAGTCAGTTCTGGAATTCAGGAGGACAATGAGGGGAGGCCTTGTGGGCCAGCAGGATGCAGCTGCGTGCTTCTCCTGGGGCCTTTGCTCCTGGGTAGGGGAAGTTTAGTCAACTGCTCTTAGCAGTTCCCAGCCTTCCGAGATATATTTACACTTGAAATGGTCTTACTGTGCGAGGGCCACACTGGTCTGCTGTGTGTAAGTGCCGATGCGTTATCACACATTCCTTGGTGATGCCTACTGGGAAACTGCTCTCTGCTGTGAAGTGCAGAAAAGCAGAAGAGCTTTGAGTGAAGTAAAACAACCCTTCAGCCCTGCACAGCATTCCTGCGAGTGCTTGGTGACCCAGAAAGAAGGGGCGCGTGCAGATTGGATCTCGGTAGGTGTCATCTTGATGTAGACTTGGGGCTGTGGGTGCTTCAGAGTGGTCCTCCTGTTGGTGCAGTTGGTGCCCACCCCCAACACACAGGACTCACTGTGCTGCATTCTGGACGTGGTCATCTGGATCCCACATGCTTTGCGAGACAAGGCACTGAAAGCTGAGCTAGTGTCAGAACTTAGACGGAATGATTCTGACTTGTGCTTAACTCCGCAAAGCCTTGGTGATTTTTTTTTTTTTTTTTTTAACTTTGTAGACAAACACAGAAGCTCTGAACATCCCAGTGCATCACACTCAGGTTGCATGACCTAGGTATATCTGGGAGGTCTTTATACATCACAGCCTCTACCAATTCAGTGGTGGGTGGCCAGATAAGGAAAGAAGCAAAGAACTTGGTTTCCTTCTGCTTTAACTAATATGTTGGTGCTGTTTTCCTCCTGATATGACCGTTGTTCTGAAGCACCCTCCCGTGATTGTGCTTTGGCTGCAAGGGCCCCAAGTGTCAGCCCTACTCCTTGCGTTGCACATGAACATTCACAGAACTAGTTTGCCAGCTAACCCTAGACGGAGAAGGTGTTTCACCAATTTGTTTTTTAAGGTCTCGAGTTACCAAACCCCACTTGGTTATTCAGCGGATATTAGAAAGACCACCCACCTTCCTTGTTTGTTGACCAAAGCTCTTGGGCCCCATTCCAGTGGCTCTGCACCCTGCTCCAGCCCAGCTGTAGGTCAGACCTGAGAGAGCATAGTGTTTAAGACTGTCCTTCCAGCTCAGCAGAAAGTGGATGCAGCTGAGGTACTCCTCATGCAGGCAGGTGTGACCCTCTGCTAGGGGCTTACCTCGAGGAACACGTGTCTTCATCCCAGGAAAGCAGGTGTCTTTGCTGTCATCTGTGGATAAGGAGAGGACAGGCAGGGCCCTGCTAATAAGCTCTTGGAACTGCTTTTTGAGCTCCCTGTGATTGCTTCAAAACTGGCCCCAGCTGGACTCCACTCTCAATAGACTTGAGTAGATGCCCAGGGTGAGCTGTGGCCTGGAAGCCATGTAGGAACGAGAAAAAGGAACCAAGCTGCACGTGGTGATAGAGTCTGGTTTTCTAAGTGAAATATGTTTTCCCTGACTTATTTATAATCAGAAATTCAGAAATACAGTGTATATAACACATGGCAAAATTCACCAGGAACAAAGCACTAAATATTTTTCTAAGGTTAAATAATTTCTAAATAATTGGAAGGCACACGCTGAAGATGTCAGGATTAGAACTTCAGATACCTGGTGCCTTTTTCACAGACTGAGGAGCCAGAGCCCTGGGACCAGAAGTTGACCACCCTCATGGGTAGATTTTGTTCCCTTGAGAGGGTGGCTTTCCAAGGGTAGAGTGAGACCTGTGGTGGCCTCGTTACCTGGGGACTAGTTAGGAACATACATTCTCAGACCTCTGTCCAATCAGCCTGAGGCCAGCACTCTAGGGAGTTCCGCGTACACTCCACTGTAGCGTCCAGGACTCTAGGCTACTGGGGAGAAAGGTCCTTGAAAAATAAAATGTCATCCACAGCTTTTGATTGTAATCCTAAAATTGGATGATACCACAAGCTTGAAAACTTTTAAATACTTATGTAAAACAAAAACCCAACTAGCTACCCTTAAAAAACGGTATTTTTCACATCCTGAAGTCTATCAGTAATGTTTCCTACTTCTCTCGAAATCATGTTACAATTATGGAAGAGTACTGTTCAGTATTAAAGATAAATGGAGAGACCATGAACCTTGTGCTGGGTGTCTTTTTTTTTCTCTTTTTTTGTTTTGGCGCTAGAACTCTGGGCCTTCACACTGAGCTATACCCCAGACCCCTTTTTCATTTTGAAACAGGGTCTTGCTAAGTTGCCCAGGCCAGACTCGAACTTGTCGTCCTGCCTCAGCCTTCTAGAGCGCTGCGATTACACGCTACTGCAATGGTCTTAGTTTTCATACCTAAGCACAGGTCCTCTTCCTGCAGCCACCAGGGGAAATCGGCATGCGTGCCTGGCTGTGGGGCGAGTTGCTGCCTGCCGGTAGGGTGGAGTTCCAAATTGTGCTTCCTCTGGCTGAGCAAGCAGCATGAATTCTTAAACCCAAAACTGATCAGGCCATATACAAAATACTACACAGGACTGGGTTTCTTTTGGGGACCAGAGTGTAGGGCAACAGAGAACAGTATGAATCGAGTCCTTGATCCCTCCTTGCAAGTGCTGACCTTTGGGGAGAGTCAGCCACCCTCAGAAGCCATGTGGGAAATACTGTTGAGAACACTGAAAACAGATGCAAAGCAATTAAGAAAGTTTCCCAAAGATAAAACTATTAAGTGGGGGAATCAAACTTGGACCTGGTCTAGCTGGACCATATGAAGCGTCCCATAAGGGGAAAAAGATGCCATTCTGATTTCAGGGATGGCAAGCAGAATTTCCTAACTTGAGAACAGGTAGTAACCAAAGCTGAGGGGACGAGGCATCGAAACAGCTGACTGAGTTAGTGGGGGATTAGAGCACTAATTTTCACATGAACCATGAATACAGTTGCCTTAGACCTTACTGGGACCTTTCAGCTCACTGTAGAGTCAAGGAATCTGGTCCAGGATCTCCAGCAGATCTGCCTCACTACTAAGATCTCTTGGAGCTTTTGTTTGGCTAGAAATAGACACCGCCTCCCCCCTCCCCCAAAGAAAACCTGAGCCAAATTCGTTATTGCATAAATCCAGTAAAGCCTGGAGATGCAGTGTAGGTGTCCCCATGAGAACCACACTGGCGGTGAGCTCCCTAGAACTACCCATGTGCCCGCCGCAGAGCTGCACACAGGCTGGTGAGCTTGGAAGTCACAGGGCCCCTGGGCCTGGCTCTCCAGCCCTTAGCATCTGCCTTGTCTAAGGACGTGGGCACCCCAAGGGCAGAGCATCCTTCTCCCCTGTGTCTGGCCCCTGGCCAGGGCCCCTGGGGCTGCTCCATGCTGAGTAGGAGCCTGAGCCCAGACCACAGAAGAGGGAGACAAAAGCAGGCCGTGTGCAGCTGGCATCAGGACCGCCCCATCCCCCCCTGGCCACCGGGGCAGCTGTTAAGCCCTGGCTCTGTGAGCAGCGTGTGTGAGCCAGTCCCAGCAGCCCCTTTCCTTGGGGCCAGCGTTCGGACCTGGCCAGACCCATAGCCTACGAGCTGAGGAAGCTTCTTGCCAAGGACTGCTCTTGCCATTTCTAAGCAGGTGCTCTGGCTCTATAGGAAAGAGAAACTTCACAGAGGATAGTGGAGAGGGAGGGAGGAGAGGGGATTCAGTGACATTGGCCCTCGGAATAGCTGCAGAACGAGGTGGGATTAGGAGTGGGGAGTGAGTAAGGCAGATGGACTAGAAAAATCCAGCTGTTGCCAGGTAAGTTTCAGGGAGAATAAACAAGCAATTCCCTCTGAGGAGAATCAAAGAGCCCACGACTCCAGAACCTGTAAAGGAGTGCGCAGGTGTTACGGGATACCCCCAGGCCAGGCCTTTGAATCTGTGACAGTTGCCAGGCAGTGCATGGTGGGCATTCTGGCAACAGTACACAAGCATGAGGGAGTAGTAGGAAAATGGGTGGGTGGAATTGGGGCGTGGTACTTGGGACCAACAGGCAGAATTCCTGCCAGTTACCCAGGTGGGAGAATTCCCCTGCCCAGAGGCAGTCTGGAGGACCAGGAAGTGCATCCACACCCAGGCCACAGGCCTCCTGGTGAGCTCGGATCAAGGGAGTCCTTTGTCAAGCCAGGGTTTCACCACCAGCCACCAGCCTAACGAGGGTGGAGTTGGAGCAGTGGAGAACCATATACCCAATTTCTTTTATTTTTTTCCCCTACTCCTCTCCTTTTTAAAAATGCTCATCTCCACCCCAGCATTGCTTTTATGACCTGGGAGTGGGTCAAGCTTGGCTTGGAAACACTACCCTGGGAAATGATCTGCCCAGCAGCAGGCAGGAAGGACCCCATCCAGTGAGGGCCACACTACCTGCAGGCTGCGCAGGGTGGCAAGCAGATGTGGGGTGTGGGGGTAGGGTGAGGGCTTCCTGATGAGCCTTGCACAGAGGGGCCCCAAGGGTGGTAGGCCACAGCCCCGGAGTTGCAGACAGCTAGTTTGAATCCTGCCTAGCAATTTGCTGCTGTGATCTTGGATAAGTTTCCTTTCGTACACCTCATTTGTGATAGAAAGGTAGAGGCAGTGTCCCCTCCAGAGTTGCTTCAAGGATTCAGGATTGTGTTCTCAATAAAAGACTAACAAGATCTCCAGACTATATGCAGAGTGGCAGGCAGGGCTGCAGGCCCCTGAATGCCTGAGTTAACTTTGCTTTTCAAAATTCAGGCTGTGCCTGGAGTTGCCCATCTTGCCTAAGGCCTGCAGGCTCCACATCCGTCCTAATTTTTGCACGTGGCCCCATACTCGGGGCTCTGGGGTTACCCCATTAGCTTCCCATCTCTGAAAAAGCTGCAGCCCATTGCTGTCTCCTGAACCTTTCCACCCAGGCCTGGTGCTGTGCTGTGCTTGACCGTCCTTGGTAAAGCAGGGGTCTCTTGCATGTGCCCATACAGCATGTGTGTGTGTGTGTGTGTGTGTGTGTGTGTGTGTGTGTGTTCTGTAGCATGGGTATGAGCGTCCTTGCCCTAGCTGGATGTCCTACTTGCTTTATAAAACCTTGCATAGGCACACCTCTTCCCCCTCAGATTCGTTTTGTCTCTTGAGCTCTCCACACCAGGTGACACCTCCTGGGTCTCCTGCGCAGCTCAGCAGTGTGACATCTGAGCCTCCGCTGGACTATGTGTGTTGAGTGGGTCTTTCTCATAGGCCAATACTCCTGCCTGGCAGGCTTGATGCCTCATAATAGACCAGGTTGTAGGAAGGTTCTCTGGTTCAGTTTGTGAGGAAGAGCTGAGCCACACCTTCTAGGTCAGCAGCAGTGGGTGGCACAAGTCTGATGAGAAGCCTCCTCCCAGCACACAGGATCCCCAGAAGAAGCTGAGGCTAAAACTGGGAGCCTCTGGGACCCTGGCTGCCCTTCCCCTTCCATTTAAGACTTTTCTGGTATAGGGGGTAAGGTAGAGAGACAGTGAGGAGGCAGTCGGGGAGAGGGAGAGTGGGAAGAGAGGGCCCCCAAGTCAGAGAACCATGGCTGCCCTGACACTTGCTGAACCAGGTTCCCCACCTCTGAAATGCAGAGGATGAGGCAGCGCCTGGCAGGGCTGCTTCAAAGACCTGGCCCGGCGCCTGCAGACACAGACAGCTGCAAAGGATTTCTTTGCTGGGTGCCCCAGTCCTGTCCCCACCTTCATTTCTTCCCAGTAGGAAGGCAGGCAGCTCTTGCCACAGGCAGAACACTGAGGCATCTTTTGCTCTTACCCCCCCTCCCCCCATTTTTTCAGTGCTGGAAATGGAACCCATGGAGAGACACACACACACAGACACACACACAGAGGCTGGCCTGAAATAGGTTTCTTTCAAAGTGAAATTTCCCTAGTTTCATGACCTCGGGGCTAGGAATTTGAGTGTGTGGGGTAGCCACAGTTGTAGTTTCTTGCTGTGAGGCCATTTCTATACTCTGAGGAGGTAAGAACTGTCCCTAAGGTGTCCCAGCTTGAAGCCTCAGCCACCACCTGCTCAGTCCTTCTGCTCCCTGTGCCAGTTCCTTCCTCCCCGCACCCCTGCCGCCAGGCCCTGGACAGAGAACACAACTCCCACCCATACCCTACACACCCTAGCGCCCCCAACCCCCGCCCCCATGTCCTCAGCACCCACTTTGCCCCGTGAAAGCTGCCTGGATGCTCATTTCAACCAGACCCTGCTGCAGTACATGTCTTGGTTTTGACCACAGCCAGTGCCCTGGCGAAGTCCAAACCACGGCAAGCGCCTCCCGTCAGCTGCACCTATCTCTTGAGGCCTCTTAGCTTCATTCCCTCCCCACATAAAGCTTGCCAGGGCTCCTCTTCCAGCCCAGCGCTCTCGGCAGACCTCTGCATCTAACAGACTGTGACCCTGCAGCTGGGGCCTCCCCGACCTTCCCCTTCTGGCCCGCCCACCGTTGTATTTGTGTCTTCCAGCCCCTGCTGAAGGTCAGTTGAGCCCAGAATTTTACAACTCAGAGTGGAGAAGCTTCAGTTTTGCATTTTAATAATTTAAGATTGACGCACAGCCATGTACTCTAAGAGTCCCAGCCCTCTGGGCAGTATCCAGGTGCAGAGCAGGAAGCCCCTGGGCGGGGTGGCCAGCGCCTGCTCTCTAGAGCCTCCCTGCTGCCTCCCTGCCCACCCACAGCTGCCACCAGGGAGGTCTGGACAGGAAGCCTGCAGCTGGGGGACAGCCAGACACCAGCTGCAGCCCTGTCTCCAAGCTGGACAGGAGAACAAAGACCCAGGCCAAGCTGCAAACTGTAGCTCCATAGGCAGAGGTGGAGGGGAGGGGGTGGGGCAGCGTGGAGGGGGGTGGGGCGGCTCCATCGACCACCACACTTTCCTGCCAGCCCAGCCTGCCACAGCTGCATCCCGTGAAACGGGCTTTGGTTTCATTTTTTTCCCCTTTAACTTTATATATCATAAAAATTTCTAGGAAATTTTTAATATTCTGGCTACCAGTTAACATCTCCCAGATGTTCCCACATCCAGAAGGGCCAAAAACTCATCAGAGCATGTGTTCTGATGTTTGCGTTGGCATGCATGCTCTCTGGCTGGGGGACTGCTGCGCCAGGACGCCTGCCCCTTTCTTTCTGGATGAAGAGCAAAGGTGGTGCGAGTGGGAACGAGGAGAATGGGGCTGGAAGGGCGTGGGGCCTTAGTATCCACTCTCTGGAGTGCTGGAGGCTGGCCCAGCCTTTTCAGGAGTGGCACCTGAAGGTGAGGCCAGCTCTCCCACGCCAGCCACGGGAACTCCTGAAGCTCCTTCCCCTCCCCCACAACAAAGGGACAGTGGATGTTGCCATCCCTGTAATAGAAAGAAACCAGTATTCTCTTTCCCCAGTTCTGCAGCATAAATTAATGGCCCTACCAAAATACATTCACAGGCTCCTTGCCTGTCCTTTGGGTAGTCAATCACAGCAGTCCTGCCACAGCCTGAAGGGCTGGATGCCGCTACAATCCCCATCTTCGGTCCACAAAGCAGCTCTGTGCATTCCCAGTCAGCTCAGGGTTCCTGAGGGGGTGGTTGTTGGGGCAACAGCTTTTCCCGGTCACTGAAGGACAGGCCTCTGCCTCAGGACACGAACTGATAAGCTCTCTGAATGGGCCAGGAGCTCCTGGATATAAGCCAAGCTCAGCCCTGCAACCTTGGCCCCGTTCACCTCCAGGATCTCGTCCCCCACCCCGAGCAGCCCCGAGTAGAGCTTGGCGGTGTCCAGGTCAGCCATCTCCTGCACGTAGAGCCCTGCGAAGAGGAAGGAGAAATGGAGAGCCCACACCAGAACCTGCAATGCTGCAGATGCTGGCCAGGGAGCACGGTCAGCATGTAGGATTGAAGTGTTCATGCAGGGGCCAGCCACACTCACGCATGCACGCACGCACGCACACACACACACACACACACACACACACACACGTACACACCGTCCTACTTCATAACCACAGTTGGCTTTATACATGCATCTCCTCTGGGTCTGACCTCTTCTGTTCTCTTTCAAAGTGGAAATGCCCCAGGTGCAAAGAATGCTTTGAGGGTGACACTCTTCATTGATACTGCTGTGAATGCGCTCATCCTTTTCTGAGATGAGCATTTATTGCACAGAAGTAGCTTTTAAAAATGAAAAACTCGGGAAGATAGCTCAGTAGAATAAGTGCCTGCCTGGCAAGTACAAGGTCTTATGTTCAATCCCCAGTACCATAATAAATAAATAAACAAATAAATAAAATGTACCTCTAAAAAAAACAAAAAGAAAAACTTCCTACTAGGTGCCTAGTACTGTGCTAGGTGGGCCCTAGTTGCTGCCTCAAGGAATCCAGACACTGCGTGAAGGTTGGGGTGGTGTGGGACAGCATCGCTGCAGTAGGGAAAGTGTTTGAAGCCCAATCTTTGCCCCACAGCACGTCCAGGGCTGACCTGGGCCTTAGTCTTACACATGGAGCCTCATTTGGGACAAAATACTTAAAAGCAGTGGCTCACTCTCCTCTTTTTCCCCCACCTGGAAATAGCTATGCCTGGCTAGTATGATCATTCCTTGGTCTAGAAGATGCAAGTGACCCTTCTGTGTCTGTCCCCTGGCTGCTTTTCAGGGATGCCCTCAGGGACCTGCACTGGCCAGCCTGGCTTCCCTGGCTCCAAGCAGCAGCACCCAGTGGCTCTCAAATTCTGCCAGCTGTGCCCACCTGGGATGTGCACAGGCTCTCCCGTGCTCTGTGCCAAGGGAATGTGTGAGTCTGGGGCACAGCCAGGTCTGCTAGAGGATGATCTTGCGGGGTGCCCTTCATGCGGCTGACAACATCAGCAGACTTCGCTGGGGCAGCTCAGCACACAGTATTGCCTAGCCCAGGCTCAGTGGATGCTACAGGAGAAACAGGAAGGGCTGCCCTGCAGTCTGGCACCACTTCCTTTCCTGAAGCTCAGTGCTTAGCAGGGACTCCGAAAGCCATCTGGGCTGGTTGCTGTCTCTGGCCCGACGCCGTTTTCAGCATCTGTGACCCATCAGAAATCTTGCTTGGCCCACTGAGCCCTAGAGCACCCAGTGCAGCTCCAGCCAAGGTTCAGAGGCCTGCAAGAGCACAGGTGTCTGCTCCTCCTCCACGGAGGCACGCAGGGTCTGTAGCTCCGTCAAGCAAAGCTGGTCTCTGCACACGCTCCCTCTCCCTGGTGCCCCGTTCAACCCCTCTGCACTGCTTTCTAGCCCGGCTGAGGCTGGTCGCCCCTTGCCCAAGCGTGTCTCCGTCCTGGCTGAGCAGCCTTTTCCCTCAGGCTCTGCCCCACCTATTCCCTCCTCTCTCAGGTGGTGAGTGGCGGCTTGCCCACCCCATCTCCCACACAGGTGGCACAGGGAGAGGAAGGTGAGGGGCCTTGTGAACCAATGCACAGCGGGAGAGGCAGGTGGGGAGTAATGAGAAATCCCCAAAGAATGCAGCTGAGCCTGACCAGACACTGACATCACTGGTCATTTTTGGGAGAGTTGGATAGGTTTCCTAACTGAAAGCCGTAACAAAAATATGACAGACAATCTGCTCCTGTGGGCATTTATTGTCTGCTGGAGGTGGTCTTTGTGAGGATGTGCAGTCTAACCGTAGCCAATTAGGAGCAGAAGGCAGAGCCTGCTGTTCATGAAGAAACAGAATATGATAGCCAGCAAGCTAACAGCAACATCCTGACACTTTACCAAGGAGTCAGGTCTGCCCCAGCTCACCCCTCTGCAGCCCTGGAGATGTGACCCTGGCTCTGGAGGAGGGTCGGGTGAGGCGCACCAGGACCTGCTCCCTCCAGGTGCCCAGGGACTGCTGGGAGATGGCTAGCTGAGCAGCGGGGGCAGGGCCAGGAGCTCTGCAGGGAGAGAGGAGGGACTGGGGGGAGGTGGGAGGGAAGAACGCAGCACCCTGGGGTGCTGGACCTCACACTGGCAGAGGGATGTGGGTCATGCTGGTCCCTGTAAGGATTCTGTTCCTCCCTGTACCTCCTCCTTCTGAAAAGGGAAGGGAAGAAAACGAGCCAGGCACTTTATTTTGAACCTGGTCAGATGTTTCAGTGAGTGGTATCCTTGTTCCAGGCTACGGAACTGAGGCTCAGAAGGTAAGTCAGCTGCGCAGGGCCCCCAGCAGAGGCAGCGCAGTACACACTCTTTCTTCACTGACTTCCAGCAGAGGGCCTGGGAGGCCTCTCTGACCTGCCTAAGAGGCTGTAGGGACAGGCAGGACACTGACTCCTGGAGAGCATGTCACAAATGTCATCCCCGGTGAGGACTGCCATTTCACCCTCTGCAGGTCCAGAGCGGGGAGACCTGTCCTCTCCCATGCTCACCCATCCTTCAGCAAACTTGGCCAAAGCTACCCACAAAGCCCTAGAAGCCACCCTTCTTCCCCTGGTCCACAGCCGCCCAGTCCATGCCACCTTCACGTTCCTCCTAAACTCAAGCAGCAGCTTTGGAAAACTGCTCTGCCTGGCTCTGCATTTTCCCTCTGGGATCTTTTCTTAGCCCTGCAGCCCCACCCTGTTCATGATAAATCTGCTTTCAGTCCTTGGGGACTCCCTCTCACTGAGAAAGCCGGAGGCCTAGGCTGGTACAGCCCACCTCCCCACTCTGCACCTGCTGTGCTGCTGCCTGGAATGCCCCTCCCGTGCCTGCTTGGTTCCTCCCACGCCCCAGCTCCACCTCTGCTTGGGTGGCATCATGGAGAAGCTGCCCACGCGTGCATCTGCCTGCTTTATTTGTGTTTTGTTCCTCCGTACTTTCTATTTCACTATCTGACATAATACACTCGATAAACTTACTGTAGACACAGCCTCGCTGGAATGTGTGCTCAGGAGGTCAGGGATTTGCCCATTACCTGTGCTACTGGAACCCCTAAATCCACGATGGTTTGTGGTAGGTGCTCTGCACGTGTCTGCTGATGCAACAAGATTGCAGAGGTGACCTGGGCTGCATTCTGCAAATGTGGTGACAGGCAGATTTTTCTTTTCTAGTTCAAAGCACAGTACTCACCCCTCCTTGGCAGAGCCCAGCCAAATGGGCTCCTGAGTGTGTCCCCCATGTCTCTTTGCTTTTCCCTCCCCCACCATGTGCCTCTTTTCCTACTCATCTCTGGGATATCTTTCAGGGTCCCTTGCCCTGCACTGCATCCTGGACCACAGACTGTGGGCAGAAGTCCAGGGATGAGCTCACCCATGGCAGGATGGGACAGGACTACCAGAGTGCAGAATGAGGCCCAGGGGCCCTCCATGTCCCTGCTGATGCTGAAATCAAAAGCCAGAAGGTAACCCAGCGGGGGCAGGCTGTGGACAGGACGCACAGGCAGGCAGGCATGCTCCACATGCCCAGACACACCGGCAGCTGGAGGAGGGAGCCGCTGCAACATGTCACCCACATCAAAGGGCGAGCTGAGGCCGGCAAGCACCAGCAGCTCCCTGCCTTCCCATGGAAAGGGAGAAGCCTTCCAGATTCCAGTCCCAGGATGCCACCACACAGCAGGCAGACAAGGGGTCAATGTTGCCAGCCCAGAGCTGCAGCTGCCAGGGCTGTCACAGTGCTGACTCCCAGGGCCCTGGGACCCAGAGGAGCTCACCCAGGGGCCCTGTAGTGCAGGGGCTTTCTGAGCACCACCACTCAGACAAGGAAGGACCAGGCAATGCCTATCCACTGCCCAGAAGCCCTGCAAGCACCACTGAAGAAGAGGAGGGTGCATACCTGAGTCCCTGCGTCCATTCCCGGAGCCCACACGAAAGCCAAAGGTGCCCTCAGGGGAACGCTGCAGCTGTAGTTGGCTTGTGCCATCCGGGAACACTGCCATCACGCGGCCCACAGTGCGAGCCAGGCTGGGGGCACCAACATCCTCCACACTGAGGGCGCGCCTGTGAGGGCACCAGAGAAATGGAGAGCAGAGGGCGGGCATGGGGTCCCAGCCTCCTACTGTTTTAGTTCAGGTTGCAGAGGCCTCTCAGACTCCAAGCCTGGCAGTGCAGCTGGGGTTCCCTGGAGCCCCCACTGACCCGGCCAGCTCCAAGGGCACCTAGGTGGAGTGGGGTGGGTCTCCACATCTGTCCAAGGTGCCTCAGGGCCAGCATCAGACCAGAGAGCTCCACCACTTGCAGTGTGGCTTCTACATGCTTTCAGTAGCCATCGGGGATCTGACAAAAGCTGTAACTTCATATAAAGTTTCCAGGTCCATCCAGTGGCCTGGAAGAGAAGCAGCTGGCCTGGGCGGCCTCAGCAGAGCTCACGGTCAAGGGCTCTGGCTCAGAGTTTAATCACACCTTTAGCTGGGATAAGGAGTCTCTAGGCTTTCTGACTTGGGTGCATCACCAGAAGCAGAGAAAGGCTCAAACCAGCAGGCCAGCCCTCCCCCTCCTCACAACCTCCCACCTGCTCAGCACAGAGCGAGGGCACTAAGAGGTCACCCCAAGACTCCTGTGCCATCTGTCTCTCCACACATAGGGTTTGCCAAGGGAAGGGTACATAACATGCCTCACTTCCTCCCACTCCCCTTTGTGGTACTAGGGATTGAAGCCCAGCCCTTTGCATTAAACTGTAACACTCAGCCCTTTTTATGTTTTGAGAAAAGGTCTCTGTAAGTTGCCCAGGCTGGACTCAAACTTGGGATCCTCCTGCCTCAGCCTTCCTGAGTGAGAAGCCACTATACCTAGCTTCTTGTTTCCTCTTAAAGAGGGCAGGGATGCTGAGATAGGAACTAGCTTCTAGCTCCACTGGTCACCCTCAGAGTTTACTTTCCAGGTCAGCTGTGCTCACACTTACCTGCCAGGTGCACTGGGGTACCCTGGGCCCTCCACCACATAGAGGCTGGACCGGTCCCCCCTGCCACTCAGTAGAGAGTGGAGGTTCTGAAAGGAGGCAGCTTTCCGATGTTGGCGGGAGGGAGACACCTGGTGGGGAAAGCCCAATATTGCAGGTGAGAAAAGCCACCTGGACCTGGAGATAGTTCAGCAGAATAAGCGCTTGCCTGGCAAGTGCAGGGTCCTGAGCTCAATCCCTGGTAAAACAAAAACTTGAGGCCACTTATTTCACTAGGTGAAGGGCTCAGTGGGAAGGTCGAGGGCTCAGTGGGAACCCTGGAATTTAGGAGAGGGGCCTGCATCAAGGTTGTTTTTTTTTCAATTTTAGCCAAAACAAGTTAGTATTAAAATACTGAGCGTATTCCTGTAGGAAAATCTAATTTTTTTTTCTAAGATGAAAATGAAAGAAAATTAACTACAGAATAGCATAATTTTAGGTTTAAAATCTTGAATATTTTGTGAGTCTTCGGCATTTTATGATCACTTCTGTTAAAATTTTTTTATATATGCATGTACTTTAAAACATTGAACGTAGTGAAAAAAAATATATGTATGTACAAGATAGGATACATATACAGCTACTTTCTCTTAGTTCAGTGAGAAGAAAAGTTCGTACTTCAGGTCTTGTTTTGTTTTTGTTTTTGTTTTGTTTTGTTTTTGTGGAACTGGGGATTGAACTCAGACCCTTGCACTTACCAGGGAAGCGCTTATTTTACTGAGCCATCTCCCCGGCCCCAGAAGGTTCATACTAATATTGTTTGTTTGGTCTTTTGTGTGTGTGTGTGTGTGTGTGTGTGTGTGTGTGTGTGTGTGTATGTGTGGTACCAGGGATTGAACTCAGGACCTTGCACTTCCCAGGCAAGCGCTTATTCTACTGAGCTATCTCGCAGCCCACTAATATTGTTTAGACAAGCTATCATATCTACATCTTGTCCTCTGAATACTATGAAGACAACAATATGCAATGTATTATTGTAACTGTCATACTAACCTATTTTGAAACTGTTTCATTGCTATTTTATCTTTTTTTCTTTTAAAAATGAATAAAATATTTTTAAAAATTGAACCTAAAAAGCTGAACAAGTCTAAGTCCCTCAATGAATTTATTTTATTTTATTTTATTTATTTTATTTTATTTTATTTTATTTTATTTTATTTTATTTTATTTATTTGGCGGAACCGGGGATTGAACTCGGGCCCTTGTACTTGTCAGGCAAGTGCTTATTCTACTGAGCTATCTCCTTGGCCCTCCTCAACTGAATTTACAATATGCCTAGGGCAGGGATAGGCACAGGTCGGGTGGAAGCTCCAGGTGCACGCAGGAGGTGCCGGCTTAACAGCACGACTGGAACGTGGAAGGCGAGACGGCACTTTAGGAGGTCTGGGGCCCCTGGAGGAGCTGCTGCTGAGGGGCCGCTGAAGCAGGAGCTCCCGGGCGGAGAGGTCAGTGCTCCGCAGAAGCAGCGGGGCAGGGGGCGGAGGCGCGACACGTGGGCTCTGGGTGGTGAGGCCCCGGTGTAGTGGACTACGAGCCAGAGGCAGGATTCGCCCTCAGGCCCCTTGCGGCCCTGCTGAATGATGCTAACAAGTGGGGCGAGATCGTCTGCGCTCCAGAAAACACCCTAGAGAGGAGGCAATTCTGAAGGTGGGTTGGAGGTGGTGGAGAAAGAGCAGGAAGAACGACTTCTAAACAAATGTTATGCACATTAGTATGTCGGGAGCTCATGCATCTACAGTCCAGGCACTGGTGTCTGCTCCAAACTCCTAGGCTGAAGCTTAGTCACCAAGAACATGGGAGTCCTGGAAGTGATTACCTCATGAAGGCAGACCCCCAGGGGATGGAGGATGCCCAAAGAGCCTCCTTGCCCCTTCTACCATGTGGCACTCAGGCGTCATGAGGAAGCCAGCCCTCGCCAGACACTGACTATGCCGGGTCCTTGAGCTTGCCTCTCCCAGCCTACAGAACTGTTAGGAGGAAGTTTCTGTGGCTTGTAAGTCACCTGCTCTGTGGAATTCTGTTACAGCAGCACAAACATACTGAGAAGTGCTCTAAAGAAGCAGGCGAGTCATTCAGCAGCCTACGAGGGAGCCTGAGCTTGCATCTGACCCAAGAGGTCTTTCTGGCAGAAGCTAAGTTAGACCAAAGGGACCAGCAGAAGTATCCCAGGGAATGGGGAGAAGGGGAGGCTTCGGGTACAGGCCTGGAGGCCCTGGGGGAGCTGCGGAGCTGTCTAAGCATAAGGGCAGGTGCTTGCCCACTTGGGGACAAAACAAAAACCAAATCAGTGAAGCACCTACGTCACTGAGCATGCGGCGGCATAACACGCTAGCAGGAAGTATTTCCCTCCAAGGCATGGAGGACATAAATCCTTCTACACGCTCCTTTCTTCTTGGGAGCTTCTTTCTTCCGCACGCCCTTGCTGCGCGTCCTCCCACCCCCTCTTAGCCAGGCTGCTCTCTAGCTCTGCTCAAGTCAGCTTAGGCTTCTGTGAACCTCTGTTAGGCAAACAAGGCCATCACTTCCCTCGAGGAGTTTACAGAAACAGCTTTGATGCCATGAATCCAGGGCCCACACCAGGCCCACACTGGCCGCATCTAAGTGCAAGAAAGCAGCGAGTTTCTGGCACAATGAGTCACTGTGGCTGCCTTTCTCCCCAGCGTGCCGTCTGCTTGTTTCTCTGCCTTCCAGTCATTCTGCACACCAATATTGTGTGACACATCAGTTAATGTTCTTGGTGAGAGAGGTCCCCAGGAGTCTCCTCTGACACATCCTCGTCCTCCACAGTCTGAGACATGCAAGGCTCCGGTGCCCCAGCCCACACTCACTTCCCTCATTTAGACACAGGAGACAGAGGAATCTGTTTGGAAATGACAGCACGGGGTTTCCAGAGACCCTCTGGAGAGCTCAGGTGCCGTGCTTGGTTTGCCAAGACTCGCATACGGGGAGGGAGGACTCAGCTGGCCCTGCGCTTCACCATGTGCTCACCTACGCTCCGGGTGTCCTGAGCACTGTGAGGATCCTAGCTACTGTAATCAGTACTGGGAAAGTAAGGTCAAGTGGGGCTCCCCCAAAGGATTACACTCTAGTGAGGGGAGAGACAGAAGTCAATTAAAATACTACGTGACGGGGGCCTGCCCATTAGCTCAGCTGTAACAAGGCAATCAGGATGCTGTGGTTCGATCCCCAGATCCTCAAGCCTTACCGGACCTGCCCTGAAGGCATCCTGAGCCAGCCAAAAAAAAAAAAAAAAAAAAAAAAAAAAAAAAACCACTTATGAACTTTTGGGGCCGGGGAGATGGCTCAGTAGAATAAGTGCTTGCCTGGCAAGTGCAAGGGCCTGAGTTCAATGTTCAATCCCCACTTCTGCAAAAAAAAAAAAAAAAAAGACATCACATTTATTTGGGCCAGGGAGATGGCTCAGTGGAGTATGCGCTTCCCTGGCAAGCACAAGGGCCTGAGTTCAATCCCTGGTTCTGCAAAAAAGAATACTATGTGATAAAGTTCCATGAAGCACAGAAGCAGAGAAGGCCAACAACACAAAGCATCACCCTGCTCAGCATGAGGAGGGACTGGGCCGGCTTCCTGAGGACATCAGCCTGAGTGCAGACAGATGAGCAGATATGGGCAGGAGAGGAGGGGGAGGTGCTTTCCTGAAGATTCAGAGTGTGACTTGCTAGCACAACTGAGTGATGAGAGATGAGACACAGCTCACAGAGGCCCTGGGGTGATGCCCAGCAGTCTCAGCTTTATCCTGAATGTGGTAAGTGACCAACAGCACACATTCAACAAGGGGGTGGGAAAGCCAGACTTGCTTAACAGAAAGATCCCAGAAGTCACACAGAGAGAGGCACTGAGGGTGATCCATCTGACTAAATGAGTCACTGTGGCCACAGAGAAAATTCCAGAATGATCAGGCCAGGAGCTCTTCTGGACTCAGCAAAGGTGGTAAAATGGAAGGAGAGGAAGAGGGAGAAGTCTAGGTGAGCCTGGGCCCAGGGCCATGGGTAGAAGGACTGAACTCAGGGGTGCTTCCCACCTGCTGTGTCCAGGCAGCCCACCTTGCCTAGATCTGCTGTGGGCATGCCAGTAGCTCTGCTTCCTTACTGCGGGCTCCCTGTGCTTCTCCTCTCCCTGAGCCCCTCATTCCCTCAGTGCCACATGAGCACGGGCCTCACCACCCCTTGCCTGGGGCCCTGAGGACTCACCGGACTCAGGGACTGCAATGATGGGGCTCTCTTTACTTTGGGGGTACTGCTGTGTGAAGCCAAGCCAGGTGCATCAGGCTGTAGCTGCTCCACACTGTAGCTGTGGGACTTGCCCAGCTTGGGCCGGGACGTTGGGCCCAGAGCGGAGAAGAGCTTTTTCAGTCCCAGGGAGGAGGTGATGCTGCTGCTCCTTTTCTTCTTCCTGTCAGAGGGTGAAGCCAAGGGTGGCCTGGGCCCTGCAACAGCCACTGGTGATACTCTGAAACACAGAATGGACATGAGCAGGCGTGGAAGGGGCTGGAAAGCAAGGGCAGGATGCTGTGCCCCAAGGTCTCATGGGGCCCAGATGGGCCCATGCTAGTGCTTTGTGGGGAAACTGACAACCAGTCTGCAGGAAGGGCAGCAGAGTGCACTCTCCTTGGGAAGCTTCTCATTCAAGGCCCCACCATAAGTGCATGCCCACAGCATGCAGCCCCGTCCTTCCTTCCTTCTTTCCTGCACTTACTTGCTCTGTATTGTGTTTTGCTTTCTTTTGTCTTGCTTTTGAGACATAGTCTTGCATGTAGTCCAGCTGGCTTTGAACTCACTACGTAGCCCAAACTTACTACGTGGCCTCAAACTGGTAGAGATTCTCCTGCCTGGGCCACCCAAGTGCTGGCGTTACACTGCTGTGCCACCACACCTGATTCCCATTCTGTATTTCATTTTGTCTTGTTTTGTTTGTTATTTCTTAACAGCCTCCTATGTGCCAACCTCTTTCATTTCCTGGGTATGTTGTGTATATGACAATCCAGGTCTTTGCTCCCAGGGGCTTATCAATAATGGACCAGTCAGCAGAGGAAGAAAAATGTCAGGAACTGGCCTGTGTGGTGAAAAGAGTGGCCAGATGACTATCAGACAGTGGCCAGGGATGGTCCCTGAGATGACCCTTGACCTGAGAGCTGGAGGATAAGTAGGAGCCAGGCTGCCAAGCCTGGAGGTGACACCTGCAGGAACAGGAGCAGCTGGTGCTCGGCCAGGGCAGCAGCAGGCTTGGTGTGTTCAAGAACAAGGGCCAGGCCACAGGACCTGGGCACAGGCAATGAGATTGGGGCAGTTCGGGACACAAATCAGACAAGGAGAGATGTGATGGCCCCATGACAAGGGGCACCAATTCTACTCCACTGCTGGGACAGCCACTGCAGGGTTTTCAGTAAGAGAATGATACCATTTAACTAGGGTTTTTTTTTTTGTTTGTTTGTTTGTTGTTGTTGTTTTCTTTAAAGATAGCCTTGGGCCAGTGAGATAGCTCAGTGGACTAAGTGCATGCTTAGGCAAGCGCAGGGACCAGGATTTGATCCTTGGGACCACATGCCACAGCAACCCCACCCCTGGGCGTGCTGATCTGGCAATCGAGCCTGGGCACGGTGGTGTATGCCTATAATCCCAGCGCTGGGGAGGCTGAAAACAGGATCACTCCGAGTATGAGCTGCATAGTGAGACCCTGTACCAAATACATTAAATAAATAAATAAATAAATAAATAAATAAAATGATAGCCTTGGGTGTGTGTGCGTGTGTGTGTGTGTATACAAGAGGACAGGAGTGAAGGCAGAGAGCACACAGGGAGCTGTATCCAGGTTGTATAAGCAGGAATGCAGCTTAGACCGGGACGATGGCGAGGTGGCAGCTGGAGCTGGTGAGGTTTGCGAGGGTGGTTAGAGGGGGTGAGGAGCAGCCTCCAGGCCTGTGTGCTATGCGATGGCAGTGATCCTGGAGATGCCGCTGCTTTTGCTGAGGGGCTACCAGACAGCCTAATGGAGGTGCTGTGCAGGCTCTAGGGGGCAGTACTGAACAGCACACAGGCCTGGAGGCGAGCAGCCGGCTCTGAGGGCAGGGGAGGCCTTGGACTGCATGCAGCCCCCAGGCAGCGCATGCGGAGCAGGGAAGAGAAGGCTTGGGCACAGCAAGGTCTTAAGGGCAGCCCAAGGAGCCCCTAGGGCAAGGACTCAGCTGAGGGAGAGAAGGGAAAATGAATGCCAAGCTTGGCATCTCCAGCATGTGGATGTTGTCACGCCTGAGGCCTGGAGGAAGTTCTCCCAGACAGGCAAGTCCCCTGGGGGCACCCTGAGGGCAGCACCCCAACAGCTGTGCCCATGCCCAGCACAGGGTGTCCAGTGAGTGGATAAGCAGGTGCATCAGACTATGAACTGGACACAAAGCATTAGGGGGCTCAGGCTGGGACATGGGCTCTGCACCCCCTGAATGGAGGCAGCAAGGTCAGTTGTGCCACCAATTCTGGGTTGTCCAGCACCTCCTCCTGTGGTGAGGAATCTCGCTCCTGTCACTTACCCGCATGGTGTGTGCCCCCCAGAACTGGAACTGGACTCTGTCCTCTGCAGGCCTCCCTGGGCTTCCTGCTGGGACTCTGGCTCCTCTGAGGTCAGGCAGAGGGTGATGCCCATGGAGTGGAGGGTGGCAGCGTCTGCTAAGTCAACAGAGCCCTGGCATCCTCCTGAAACAGAGCATCCCTCCTGTGTCAGACTGGTCATCCTCAGACACGCTGGAGGACAGGGACATTCCAAGGCTCAGAAGCAAGACAGCAAGGGATGCAGAAGAGTGGGAGGCAGTGGAGAGATGCAGACAGCAGCAGGTGACTGGGACTCAGGCCCCTCCCTGGGTGTCCTCTGGACTGGAAACCATTTGGGGACAGGAGCTGGGTCTTGGGTACTTTGGCCACCCCACTGCCTAGCATGGCCCCTGGTACACAATAAACGATTAATACATTTTTCTGAAATGATGGGGTTGCTTGGGATAAGTCAACCCCCTTCTTTATCAAGTGACATAGCAGACAAGGGGAATATTTTGTATTCCTGGGACAGAAACACAATCTTAATTTCTCACAGCTTTGACAATAATGTCATTTTGGGTGCATGCACACACGCTAGGCCATGAGCTAACTACCGCCACCAGGACTGGCTTCCCCCAAAGGGGATGGAGCACAGAGGAGGTAAGCAGCTTGCCCAGGGCCTCACAGCCAACGATAGGAGCATCACTCCCCGCTCCAAGCTTTGAGGAAGAGCAGGCCTGGAGTGCCCAGAAGGGGCAAGCCAGTCGCACTTAAGCCCCCAGAGAGAAAGAGCCACCGCTGAGCAGGCGTGCGGGCACCTTAGTCCAGCACAGATCCCCATGATACTGTGAGCAAGGGAGAGGGACAGTGGTGGGCGCACCAGAGCCAGAGATGATGGCGTCAGCACCCTCAGGTCATTACTGTCATCTCTCTGCCCTCGCCTCCACACCACTCCAAGGCCTGGATCCCAGCTCCACGGCCATCAGAGCCATAGAATAGCAAGCAAGACTGTGTGGCCTTGGCCTTTTATTTCAGTCCACTTGGTCATCTGGGACTGCAATGCCAGGGGCTGTAACCTGGGTCTACCAACACCCAGGATAGGAGGCGATACCCTACAGCCAGCAGCCTTGTCTGTGAAATCTCCCAGCCAGCCAGCAGGGCAGTGGTCAGTAGGGCACAGGCCAGAGAGCCCTGCAGGAGCTCTATTCCTGCGTCCATGTGCACCTTGGGGTTCCTAGTCCCGTAGGGGGCATCTCCACCTCCTTCCCCACAAGGTACTGGGAGTGTTATCTACGTCATCTGGCCATTAACTTGACCGTTAAGTGAAGACAGAATGACTGGAGCATCATAAACCTGATCTGGAGCTGAGCAGGGGCCATGCAAGCCTTACCAGCTCCGCTGCTTTCGAAGGGTGGATCCAGCTCCTGGCTGCAGGGGATCCTCTCTTCTCTGCCCCCGTGGACAGCTGTCTGCCAGGGCTCCTGCTGCCCCAGAGGACTGCAGCTATTGCAGCTGTTGGCAGACAGGCCCAGCAGGGGACACGTGACTGGGGGGATGCAGGGCTGACTCTGTGCAGGGCTGAGTCCACAGGTCCTGAGAACCCCAGTTCTTGGATGAGACAGTGGCAGCGCGATCCCCGCAGGTTCTTCCTGCTCCCCTAGCCTGCAGGGTCCAGCCAGCCCTGCCTCTCTGTGAGGCCCAGGGGAGGTGGTTCTGGTAAGAGTCCAGCCTGCAGGGCAGTGAAGAGTGTCCGGCCGCTGGGTTGGCCTGGGGGCAGTGGGTTGCGGATGGTTTTGTGGCAGGGAGGAAGTGCTGGCTGTTTCCAGATTCTCGTGGCTCTCCAATCTACCTGGCCCTGAAGATGCCAACTTCATGGACAGTGCTGTGGCACAGGCTGGCCTGCATGCAGCCCGGGAGTGCACAGGGTGAGCCTGGTGACTTCCCAGCTCTGGTCCAGGCTGCTTGTGGGGGACCAAGGCAGCCATCTCAGGTTCCAAGGGAGGAGGCTGAGAGACAGCATCTTCTTTCAGAAACTGAGTCTCCACAAGCCTCTGTTCGGCTCCTTCTTTCACTTCATGTCCCGCCTCCATGTTCTCGACCCCTTTCGGGTGATGCCAGGCCTGAAGACCATAGAGAAGCTCCATCTTTGCCTTCCTGGACCACCTGAGGCTTCCCTGCGGCCTGGAGTCCCGCTCTCTGGGGCTACTGCCATGGGCCAGCCTACCTGCTCTGCTGTGGGCCCAGCATCTGTCTGAGGAGTCTTTACCATCCAGGGCACAGCCTCCCTCCTCGGGGCACGTGGTGGGCTCCCCTATATGTGTTTCCCGGATCCTTTCTGTGTGGAGCCTTGGCTCAGCAGGGAGGAGCCAGCACTGCGAGCTCAGGCCATGGGAACTGCGGGACCCTGGCAGCATGCCCTCCACCCCACAGGCAGCCTGGAGCTCCCCAAGGACAGCTGGGTCCAGGCGTTGGCTCTCAGGGCAGTTGCTGGAGGCTTGGCACTTCTTGCTGGCCCAGTCGGGTAGTGGTAGAGCATGGCCCCTGCAGTCTGTGCTGTCCCCCGGCCTGTGCAATGCACCCATCCTCACCCTGCCATTGATATAGTCTGCAAGGTCTGGCTTGGAGTGCAAGGGGCCCTGGCCCACGGCCTGCAGCACTGTGCTCAGCACCTGGCGCTGGCGCTGGCGCTGCTGTAGCCGCTCCAGCCGCTCCAAGTGGCGGATCTCAGCTTCACAAGCAGATTCATCTGCAAAGCGAACGTGTGACAGGGCCATGCCCTGCTTGGGCCACTGCCCACTGCCAGACTCCCCACTGGAGGAGTCACCCAGGCTGCTGCACGGGAGGCTTTCTCCATAGGTGAAGGTGGTCCTGTCACCCAGGGCTGGACTCCTCCGGCCAGCTCTAAAGAAAATGGGAGAGAGGTCACAGGCAGAAAGACATGGTCTCCCCTGGTGCTCCATGGGAGGTACAACCCCTGGTGCTCCATGGGAGGTACAATCTACAAGGTCACCCCAAATCAGGTACTGGGAAGTCAGGTAAAAAATGCAGCAGAATGCCAGCCCCTCTGGATCCTGGCTCACCGTGCTAAATAAAATCAACATGACCTTTACTTTTGGCTTTTCCTTGGTTGCCTGATTCAATCAGTTATTGAACTCAGGATTATAGAGAAGGAAGATAGCAAGATTTTATATGAAAGTGTGTGTGCACACATGTGCTCTCCCACAGTGAGACAAAAAGATCTGACCACTGTGTGCTTCTGGTGGTGAAAAGTCACAGAAACACGTGCAGCCAGCCTTCTCTGTCAGTGCGTTCCACATCTGCGCAGTCAGCCACCCACGTAGTGAAAATATCTGAGAAAAACTGCATCTAAACTGAATGGGTAGGCTTTTTGTTCTTGCTTTTATCCCAAAACAATACAACATGGCAACAATTACCAGACTCCACCTGAGCAGACAGCTACAGAAAGACAAAAGCAGTTACCTGCCTGCCACAGCGGACTGAGCCAGAGAAGAAATTATCCGTTATTGCACAGAAAATTCAAACACGCAAAGATCTTGTGGGTAAAACTCAGACGGGAAAGATGAAGAAAGAGACAGTAAACACCTCAGCCATTTACATGTTTCAGAGTCACCGGAAACGCTGAAGTGTCATCGATAAGCCTTCAGGGAGGCATGGCCATAGACCCATTAGTTCAACTGGTATGGCTTTCCTGTTTGTTTGTTTGTTTTCTATATCTTTAGGGAAAGGTTTATAGGGTGTTCAGGGTCTCACTACTAGATCAGACTCGTAGTGATTCTCCTGTTTACAGCCTCCCAAGAGCTGGGATTACAGGCTCGTGCCACCACACCCAGTCTCAGTCACCATCTCAGCGCACTCTGGGGACAGTGCCGGCATGGCACACTGGGGATCGAACCCCTGGCCACTGAGCCTGCTTGCAGGCACTTTAATCCACTGAGCTATTTGGCCAGCCCAGCGTTCCTAACTGTGAGTTATTATTGATGTAGTATTTGCTGTCTATGAGCAATATTAAAGCCCCTTCCCCTGTGTCATTGTTTTTGATTTGTCAGATCAGTCTTATTTTTGTAGACAGTGCTTACATTTTGTTTACTGCGGAAGTTATCTATCATTACAACAAAGTAGAAAATAGATGAATTCATCTCTAATTTTAACACTTATTCAAGAACAACACAGAATTATTGGGTGCTGGGAGCTAAAACTACTGAAGTGAACAATTGTGAGCAGTCTGCTTTATTTTCTTCATTTTATAAAGGTGTGCATTAATTTTTATTTGTAAAAAACATAGCAACTATTTCACAGCATTTGCATTGTATTAGATATTATAAGCAACCTATTTAGGGGAATGTACGCAGGTTATATGCAAATACTGCCCCGTTTGGTATAAGGGGTTTGAAGATTCAAGTATTTTGGAGTCTGAGATACTGTAGGATAAATGTATGCAAAGTCCTCATGATGAGGGAAGTGGGTATATTAAGTTGTTATAGGGATTTGCTGAGAATTATGAGCTCTGTGTGTGTGTGTATGTGTGTGTGTGTGTGTGTGTGTGTGTGTGTGTATGCACATGCACACTATGGGGGATGAACTACATTATGTTTAGCTACCTGCCCAGCCCTTTTTCTTTTGAGAAAGAGTCTCACTAAGTTGCCCAGGCTGGCCTCAGTCTTACACATACCCAGAATTCCAGGCTCAAGGTTCCACTCAGTATTCCTATGCACTTGGCTTGGACACAGCTACTGGTGTCGGTGTCCCCCGTGACCTCTGGGCCTCGGCTGTTCCACACCCCATCTGATTCACTCATGCCCATCCTGTTCCTGCTGTAATAGACCTGCTGGGCTAGGCAGTCTTCGTGTGTATCATGAGCTCAGGTCTTGCTCGGCTTCCGAAGCTGCCCCTGGTGTGAGAAACCACACACATTTCTCATGCCAGGGCCCCTGGAGCCAGGCAGGCTGTGTTCTGGGTCATTATGCACATGCCCCGGCCAATAGGCTCTTTCCTATCAGAAGCCACCTAAATAAAGCCCATACTTCTCCCAGCCTCTTCCATCCAGCCACCTCTCACCATCCCATTGCTAAGTGCTTGCGGGTCCCCCTTTGTTTCTCTCATTTATCATTTCTTTACCATTCACCTGCAAGGACCTCTCATCCAGCCACTGCATCCACCAGCTTTCAACATACCACCCCAGAGAGGGCACAGGCCAAGGTGATGGTCTTTGAGACAAAAAGACAGGCCCTTCACAACCCTCCCTACTTTTTTCTTCAGTTCTGTCCCCCACCACCCCAGAGGGCTTCTCCTGCCATCATTTCCTGGAATCTTCCTTTACCTGCCTGGATTCAGCTCCTACTTTTTAAAATCCAGCCATCATACAGATACCACGTGTGACAGTTAGCTTTATGTGTCAACTTGACCAGTCTGTAGAATCCAAATATTTGATTAAAGATTATGGCTGAAGGTTCTGTGAAGGTTGTTTTTAGGGAGGGTCAAGATGAACATTTCAAGTGATGGATTCTGAATAAAGCAGATCATTCTGAATAATGTGGTGAGTCTCACGCTATCAGTTGAAGGCTTTAAGAGATTGGACAGACCTACCTGAGCAATAAGAAATTGTGCCAGTAAAGATTCTTGCCTGGGTCTCCTACCCTGCAGATTCTGGATTTACCCAGTTCCCCCAAGTGCATGAGTGAACTCCCTCTGTGTACACATACTGGGGCTGTATTTCTCTGGAGAACCCTGACTGCAGCCACATGGAAGCCTCCATGGACACCTGCACCATTCATCAGCCTTCTCAGACTTGGAGATGTTGGAGCCAGGTGGGACCTTGAGAGGCAGCAATCTCGGCCCCTAGAAACCAGTGGAGGGGATGCCCTCGGTACCCCTGCAGACACCCTGGCCAGGCACAGCCCACAGAGGCAAGACCCACCGGAGATTCCCCACCCACCTAAAGCCCACTTCTCCAAAGGCCCAGCCTGTGGCCTGCGCTGTTGGACAGACACGGGCTATAAATTCTGGTGAGAAAAATGAAATCCCAAGGTGCATCTTGCTGCCTTGTCCTGCCTTCTTGGGAGTAAGAATACCAATTTGCTGATCCCCAAATCCCAAGAGCTTTTGCTTCAGGAGCTGCTCAATATCTATGTTGATTTGTTTCCAGCAAATGCAGTTACTGCTGCCCCTTTACCTCCTGGAAAAAGCCCGTGTGTGCAGGCTCCGCAAGGCTCCTGCAGCCAGACCTGAGTTAAGGAAGCTTCTCCGTCTGCATGCTTCTCAGAGGGCAGGGCCATGTCTTCCTCAGCGCTGCACCCCCAGTGCTTGCCACAAAGCTGGTGTCCTAGTTAGGTGTGGTGGCGCATGCCCAAAACCCTAGTACATACCCTGGGAGGCTGAAGAAGGAGGATGGCAAATTCAAGCACAGACTGAACAATTTAGCAACTTGGGCCACGCAAACTTAGCAAAAGTTGTCTCAAAATAAAATATGAAAAAAGGCTCAAGGATGTAGTGAAAAGGCCATGGATTTGATCCCTAGTAACATGCATGCATGCACGCGTGCACGCTTTCCAGATGCTGTTCTGCCTGCCTCTCCCTTTCCATCGTCTCTTGGCAAGCCGCTCCTTGGAGGGAGTGATACACCCAGCCCGGTGGTTCCGGTGTCTAGCTGAGGCCTGGGGCCCATGTGGCATGGCTGTATTAACTCTGCCCAGCCCCCCAGGGTGAGCGAATGGAGCGTAACCTTTCGAAGCAGCTGCAGCAAGCCATCTGGCGTGGATTTTTCAGCTATCCCCTCCGAGGATTCGCCAGCACTGCCAAGGCATAGTAATTCTTTTCTGGACACAGCAGCTGCTAAAGTGGGTCACCTTGCATTTTTATAGCATTTCTATGGTCAGGAAAAAGGAACCTACTTTACAATAGAGATTGGGGTTGTTGTGAGGTGGAGGGGCGATTTGGAGAAGAAGTACCCAGGAGGGCAGGTGCATGTTGAATTCTGCAGCCTTTTGCAGATAAGCTTGTCTATTTTGTGGCTCCCCAGTCCAGTCTGATACCCATAGAGGGTGGGACAGAATTCCTTGGAAATCTAAGGCTTCTCCTTATCTATATATGAAGTATAGTTAGGATCCCCTAAAGAATTCTTAATAAGTGCCCTCTTCCAGAGAGACATAGAAGGCACAAAATTTGAAAATAAAAGGGTAGCATGCCAGACACCTCTTATCAGGAGTGAACACAGGGCCCCTGCTCATGATGGGCTCACCAGTGGTTCCTTGGAGGTCCTTAACCTTGAATGGTTGGCCTCAGCATCCCAAGAGCATGTGGTCCACTTTTAATGAGTCCTTACTTGCTCCAATGCCAGGTGGAGATGGAGACAGACAGATCCTGTGGGCCCCTCCCCCCACGCCAGGGAAGAGGAGGCCTTGTCATCTGCAGAGGTGGGCCCCCAGGAGCACCACAGAGGCTGGCTCTGTGTCCAAGAGCTCCATAGTCATGTGGCTCTTTCAGGTGTGCCACACACAGAGCACGCACAGTGACGCAGGTGGGCTGTCACTCAGGGGCAATCATGAGTGTGACATGCTGGTTCTCTTTCCATCTCTTCCCTGATGAATTCACCTTCACTGCTCCAGGGTTTTGGCACCGGTGATATACCCAGATCTCTACTCTAAAGATCCTGTGTCCAACTCCCTGATGGGTGTCCCTAGGATATGTTCTGGGGACACCTCCCTTCCAAAGTCTGACCCCATACCTAGACCTTGTCCCTTAGCTAAGCCCCCAAACATCCAGGCAAAAGTCACAGCCCGGGGGTCTTCCCCGGATGACTCTTATTCTCCTGCCTCCCTCATTCAGGTAATCGAATGATGGATAGCTTGAGCTACCAGACCCACAGCACTCCTCACGTCCAGCCACTGCTCCAAACACCTTCTGCAAGTCAGTCACACAATGCTAGCAACCCTGGCGCTGTGGTAACTCCTGTCTTGAGGATAAGGAAACTGAGGCACAGAGACTTCTGCAAAGGCACACAGAGGGGCAGAGCCAGGACGCAAGTCTGTATGGTCTGGCTCCAGGCCCTCATTTCTCCGCTGTCTCCCTAACAGGCTAGTGCCTGCCTCCCAACACTCATCTGAGGGCTCAGTATCCTGTGCATCCCACCAGGATCAAGGCAGCAGCCTCCGCTCTGTTCTTGTCTCCTGGATTCAATATAATCTCCACAACCCGGATGGTGCTGCTGGAACGCAAACACCACCATGTAACTCACCTGCTCCCAGTCCCCAGTGGCTCCTGTCCATCCACGAGGGCTCTCTCCCAGCTCGCCCCCCACTCCAGCCCAGCTGCACAGTGCTTCACCTGTGGTTCCCATCCCTTGCCTCTCATCTGCCCAGGGAACACCCACGTCTCTTGCAAGCCTCGGTGGGGGCATTTCCTCTGAGAGTCTTGCCTGTCCTTTCCATGCGGTATGGCCTTCCAGCTCAGAATGTATCTTTTGCTCTCTCACACCCTCATCCACAGAACCAAGAACCTGTTTAACTGTCTTCCTTCCTGAAGACTGCTCTCCACGTCTCCAGAGACCTCTGGTCACATTTCAATCATTTTTATATCTCAATTTGTATCTTGTATCTTCAGTCATCTTTGTATCTCAATCACCTAAGCCCTCAAAGGAATGCTGATTGACTAAATCACAGTAAGTGGCTGACAAAGAAAACATACACAGAAGGACGGAGGGACGAGTGGCACTGTTGGCTGGATCCCATCTCTTCTCACTGCTGACCCTTCCTTCCTAGGCCAGCCTGGCTCGGGGCCCACTTACCGGCTGCCCTGAGTGACGGTGGGCACGATATCATGACTGGCGCGGAGGGGCCGGGTCCTGGCCTTCATGCGGGCACGCTGCAGCAGATGCTTGGCATCCTCATTGCTGGTGCTCAGCACGGCCTCGGGCTTGGGACCAAAGGTCCTACAGGGTGGCACACAGGCCAGGGAGGGCGGGGGAGGGATTAGAAGAAAATAACATGGATTAGGAGGGCTTTCACAGCACGAGCAGCGGCTCTGCCAGGAAAAACCCTCATGGTCAGCCTTCCCCTCCAGCTCCCACACGGCGGGGAGCCCTGAGCGGCTCCAGACAGGGCTCGGCCGGCCTGACCTTGGACATCTGCTCAGGGACTGGAGGCAGAGACCCCAGGAGGACCTAGAAGAGGGTAGGGAAGTCTCCAGATTATTCTATTGTTTCTTCCCTGGGCCAGACAGCAGGAATCATCTGGGGGAGGGGGGTAACGGCCTGAGGTTGTGGGGCTGGGCCTGCGCCCAGCCAGATGGTTGTGCCACACATCGCCGCCCTGTCTCCTGCTGTCTCTTGGCACCCCCACCCCCCCACACCCCCTTGGCACACTCAGCGCTGCCCTCAGCTCACACAGCCTCAGGGTTCCGCCCCTCATGGTTCTGGCCTTTGGAGGAAGGACATTTTTACAAATCCAGGTGTTTGCTTGCCTTAGTCCTAATCCAAGCCTGTCAGACATCAGCTCAGGGTTCAGAGATTCAGGGCTGAGAGAAATCAAGCTGGACCCAAACCAAGTGGGCAAATGGCTCGATTTTCATAATAATAAGGGTCTTCTAGCAGGCACTTCACCTACCAGATGTGCTGCGGCCCCAGCCAGTCCAGAGCTCCAGAAATGACAGATGCTCCCTTCCAAAGCTGTCTCCAGACAGGACACACCGCCCGCACGGGGTCACAGCAATAACAGCAGCCCACAACCTCCCCACAACAAGACGCTTCGCTGTGGAGCTCCCTCTCCCCAGCCAGGCTGGCCAGGGGCAGGTGCTCTCTCCACTTGACAGATGAGGGTGCCCAGTGCAGAGGAGTGCTGGCACCTCGCTCAAGGTCGAACATCAATTAAAAGCAGAGCAGAACAGAGCAGAGCAGAGGACAGCTGGCCCCACTGGCTCCAGCATCACCGACAGACCCTGTTCTCTCCTCTCCTTGGGTCCTACAGCAAGGGGAGGACATCTGCGGCTGAGTTCAGACACCCTGTTTGATGTGACTTCAGTGTCCTCACGAGAAGGTAAGGACACATACATGCTGCATGTCCCCCACAGAAAGAAAAATGCAAGCAGCCGCAGGCTCAGTCAGACCCGGGTCTCAGACCTGTGGTCCACACAACCTGGTCCGTATGCTGTGTGGGAACACGGGCCTCGTCCTGACCAGAGGATATGTTGTGACAGACCTAAGTGGACAAAGGCTCAACTCTGAGGGTTCCCAGGAGAGGGCTTCTTAGGACAAGATCAGGCAAGCTCTGGGGAGGCTACGATTTTCTTTTTCTTTTCTTCTCATTATTTTCCTCTAATCCTACTCGGGCCAGAGAGGGAAAGACTGCTAGCATAAAGGCACCATCTGCGCCTGAGTACCCTGGCAGGGCCCAGGCCAGTCTTGGAAGAAGGGCTTCACTGGAGTGGTGAAAGCAAATCTCCAGGCCTGCGGCCCCAGAAGGCCTCCTTTGGCAGGAGAGGCCTCCCCTGCACAGCTTCCAGAGCAGGCAGCTCCTCCAACATGCGCCGAGAGCAGCTGTGCTCCCCGGGGCTCCTGCTCCACAGCAGAGATAATGAGGTTACCAGCCCGGAGAGGTGCCCCTGCAGCCGCAGGCCTCTGGCTGCCAGCCCGCACACTCGGAGCCTTCCGGTGACAGCTGTGGTTCCCCGGCTGTCGGAGGGCATTTGTCACAAGGCCTGGTGGGCAGGCAGCAGGGCCCCTAGGCAGCTGGCCAGATGCTGCCAGGATCAGCCTTGCCCTCAGGTTTTTAAGCTATTTTCCAGCTCTGCTGTTTCCTTTTGGAACTGCTGCTGGTTTGTTTTTTTTTTTTTTCCTCTTTCTTTTTTCTTTTTCCATCAGCTGCCTTGCTTCAGTTTTTGGCACACAAAGCTGGTTTCTCCACTGATTAGAAAAGCAGGCTTTTTAGGTGCCTGGAGGCATCCGTGCAGTAACACTCCAAGGAGGCAGGAGCGCAGCAGCCACCTTCACAGACTGCAGCCAAGGTCAGTGGAGCAGGAGGCCCACAGTCACTGCGCACCCTGGACAAGGGATGCCCAGACCAGCCCTGGGGAGGGAAGGTGGTCTCTCTGGCAAGGCATGGAGCAATGTCTCCTGTCATCGCAGGAAGGGACACTCAACCCTTCCAGGCAGACAGGTTCAGATTCCACCACACGAGGAAGACTTTCTAGTCTAATCTGACCCTCACAGATGACACCCGGGAAACCCAGCTCTTAGAATTTCTCTGGAAAGCTGGCTGTTGGCACATGGCCAGGTAAGGGCCATTCCTACCTAAGAGTAGAAAGCTTTGCCCACGGCCCTGAAACCCGTGCTCCGAAGCTCACGGCCTTCGCCAGCAGCACACAGAAGTAGGCTGGGTGCTTTTCCTCCCTGGGCCTTGATTTGACTCTCTACAAGCAGTGCCATTTCTACCCTGTGAGTCTGGGTCTTTAGCCATGTCACCTACTGTGGGGTGTGGGCCTCAGAGGGCCTTTTCCCTGGAAATCCACACTCAGAAGTTTGGGCCCCAAGGAGCAGCAGAGCCCACAGGGGCTGATTGTTGGAGAACAGTAGAGTGCCCCTGGAATGGGTCCTTCTCTATGTCCCCACTCACCAGTGTCCTAGGGCGGCAAAGAGCAGCAGCAGGGAGTGTCCCCTCCCACTTGTCTCTCCCTCTAGACCCGCTTCCTGGAGGAGGGACTTTACTTCCCCTCACAGCCAGGGAGGGCAGGAGGACCAACGTTTTTTCTCCTAGCCAGGGAGGTCAAAGGGACAGAGTGGCCTTTTTCTACAGCCATCATAATCCAAGATTAGATGGATAAACTCCAGCAAGTCTGGATTTAATCCTTTCATGTCAAGTACACAAGTCAGGAAACAATAGCGACTATGAGAAATCTAACTCCCTAACTTCTGGACAATCGGAATGAGAAAATAAGAGGTGTGACTGAAATATATGGTGAATGTTTAGATTTAAAAATGTAAAAAAAAAAAAAAAAAAGAAAGAAAAAAAGAAATTAGGGCTGGGGAGATGGCTCCGTAGAATAAGTGCTTGCCTGGTAAGCTCAAGGGCCTGAGTTCAATCCCCAGTTCTGCCAAAAAAAAAAAAAAGTATTACAGTAATAGACACTTTGTCACTCCTCCCCCTCAAAAACTCCGCCTTCCTTTAAATACATACACTTAGCCCATTGGTCCTTCACTTTCCAAAGCAATCCTGGAATTTATCGTTGAGAATGTCTTTATGAGGTGTGATCAAAAATATGGTAAATGCTCCTGCAAGTATGACCCAAAAGAAAGGCAGGCATCTTGTGAAATCGTTCTAAGGTGTCACCTGCTTTCTTCACAGCTCCTGGCATTGTGAGCCTGTTGGCTCTGCCCCAGAGTCAAAATGACGGTGAAATGGAGGCATTTGGAGTTGAATTGCTTCAGGACAGCAAGGCGGCCAGAACACCACAACTAAAGACAGTCCTGAAAGAGGACTTCTAGAACTGCCTCAGAAAGTGGCCAGAGCGACAGGATAAGTGTTTAGGGCAAATGGGAGTATTTTGAGGAGATTAATGGCACTGTATCTTATTATAATAACCTTTTAAAAATTTAAACACTGTAGTTTTCTGTGTAACTCATATGCAATGTACAGAACATATACAAACCTTTTTGCTCAGCATGGGCTCTGTTTTGTCTTTTTGTTTTGTCTTGCCAGTGCAGTATTGAACCTAAAGCCTTCACACTGAGCTGCATCCTAAGCCCTTTTATTTCTTTGAGGCTGGGTCTCACTAAGTTGCCCAGGTGGGACTTGAGCTTGTCACCCTCCTTCCTGAGCTTCCCAAAGGGTACGGATTACAGGTGTGCACCACTACCCCTGATTTCCATATTTGTGTATTTTACAGCCTTCAGATGACCAAGGGCAGAATGCTCACATTGTGTGTAGTTGCCCAAATGAGGGAAGAGGAAAAGGCGTGGTGCGAGTGGGTTCTGAACCGCATGCTCACTTGAGCAGAGCCCTGTCTTGTTCTCACTGTCACGGTTACACAGTGGCTTTCCTCCCAGGTCTTGGCCACTAATGGGACAAATCCTGGAGTGCTGGCTAAGACAGTGGCTCAGGGTCAGCCTGTCAATGTTCTAGTCACTTCCTTGTCAGGTGACTTGGGGTAAGCCTCAGTTTCTTCCCTGCTAAGAGACAAGGGAGAGCAATTTCTTTCAAAGGGCTAAAGGGACCAGCCAAATAGCTGCAAGTAGGCGCAGGGGTTGGGGGTTCGATCCCGGATCCTGGATCCCGGATCCCGGGCCTGCTCTGCTGGCCCTACCCCTTCCCCCGGGGCACACTGAGACAGCAATTGAGACTGGGCATGGTGGCATTCACCTGTAACCCCAGCTCTTGGGAGGCTGTGAACAGGTGGGTCACTGTAAGTCAAATCTAGTAGTGAGACCCTGAACACCCTGTAGATCCTTCCCTAAAATACAAAAAAAACAAAAAAAAAACAAAAACAAAACAAGGGGCTTGGCACAGAGCCAGGCACTTTGCAAGATTCTGCAAATGCTAGTATTTACTATTAGCACTACTATTATTATTATCACCACTGTTTGGTTACGTTGCTTTCTTCTCTTACAAAGAGAAGCAAGAGACCCCTGAGGGGGACCTAAAATCACCTGCCAAAGAGATCACTCTATTGTCAGTATGGGGAAGGCAAGTTTGGAAGTGATAAATAGGAGAAGTTGGGAAGGGTTGATGGTTTTGCTCTGGAGTTTTCAAAAGCCTCTGCTGGGGCTCCATGGTGAGGGGGATTTCCACAGGAGGAGTCCAGGGGGCAGCAGCAGAAAGCTAATTCTAGACGGTGAACAAGCCCTTCTCTCTCTCTCTCTCTCTCTCTCTCTCTCTCTCTCTCTCTCTGGTACCAGGGATTGAACTCAGAGGACCCTGCACTTGCCAGGCAAGTGCTTAT